GAGAAGGGAACATTTCCTAACTCATTCTATGAGACCACTATTACCCTGATACCAATGCCAGACATTAGAAGAAAAGAAAATTATGGACCAATATCCCTCATAAATATTGATGCAAAAATCCTCAACAAAATACTAGCAAACCAAATTCAGCAGTGTATTAAAGAGATTATACACCATGATCAAGTGGGATTTATTCCTGGAATGCAAGGTTGATTCAACATATTAAAATCAATCAACATAATATACCACATTAACAGAATGAAGGGGAAAAACCTACAAGATCATCTCAAATGATGCAGAAAAAGCATTTGACAGAATTTAACACCCTTTCCATGATAAAAACACTCAACAAAGTAGAAATAGAAAAAAACTACCTTAACATAATAAAGATCATATATGAAAAACCCACAGCAAACATCAGACTCAATGATAAAATGTAAGAACTGTTTTTCCTTTACTATCAGGATCAAGACAAGGATGCCTGCTTTTGCCACTTCTATTCAATATACTATTGGAAATTCGAGCCAGTGAAATTAGGCAAGAAAAAAGAAATAAGAGTATCCAAATTGGAAAGAAAGAAGTAAAGTTATCTGTTTACAAATGACATGATCTTACATGAGGAAAGCCCTAAAGATTCCATACATATACTCACAAAAAACCCCACTGGAACTAATATGCAAATTCAGCAAAGTTGCAGGACACAAAACCAACATGTAAAAATCAATTGTGTTTCTATATATTAATAATGAATAACCTGAAAAGGAAATTAAGAAAATATTTACAATAGCATTAACAAGACTCAAATACTTAAGAATAAACTTAACCAAGGAGGCAAAAAACTTCTACACTGAAAACTATAAAACACAGCTGAAAGAAATTAAAAAGATATAAATAAATAGGAAGGCATCTATTCTTATGGATTAGAAGACTTAGTACTATTAAGAAGATATCAATACTAGCCATAGCGATCTACAGATTCAATGCAATCCCTATCAAAATTCCAATGACTTTTTTGCAGAAATAGAAAAATCTATTCAAAATTCATATGGAATCCCAAGGGACTCTGAAGAGCCAAAACAAACTTGAAAAAGAAGAACAAAGGTCGGCCGGGCACGGTGGCTCATGCTTGTAATCCTAGCACTCTGGGAGGCCGAGGCGGGCGGATTGCTCAAGGTCAGGAGTTCAAAACCAGCCTGAGCGAGACCCCGTCTCTACTATAAAAATAGAAAGAAATTAATTGGCCAACTAATATATACATATATATGAAATTAGCCGGGCATGGTGGCTCGTGCCTGTAGTCCCAGCAACTCAGGAGGCTGAGGCAGTAGGATTGCTTGAGCCCAGGAGTTTGAGGTTGCTGTGAGCTAGGCTGACGCCACGGCACTCACTCTAGCCTAGGCAAGAAAGCAAGACTCTGTCTCAAAAAAAAAAAAAAGAAGAAGAACAAAGATGGAAAACTCAGACTTCATGATTTCAAAACTTATTACAAAACTATAGTAATCAAAATGGTATGGTATTGCCATAAAGACAGACATATAGATCAATGGAATAGAATAGGGAGCCCAGAAATAAACCTTAGCGTATATGATAAAATGATTTTCAACAAGGGTGCCAAGACCATTCAATAAAGAAAAGATAGTATTATCAACAAATGGTACTGAGAAAACTGGATATCCACGTGCAAATGAATGAAGCTGGATCCTTACCTTATACTGTATATAAAAATTAACTCCAAAAGTATCAAAGACTAAATGATAAGAGCTAAAACTATAAAACATTATCTATTCAAAACGAGCCTGAGCAAGAGCGAGACCCTGTCTCTACTAAAAACAGAAAGAAATTAATTGGCCGACTACAAATATATAGAAGAAATTAGCTGGACATGGTGGTGCATACCTGTAGTCCCAGCTACTCAGGAGGCCGAGGCAGAAGGATCGCTTGAGCCCAGGAGTTTGAGGTTGCTGGGAGCTAGGTTGACTCCACGGCACTCTAGCCAGGGCAACACAGTGAGACCCTGTCTCAAAAAAAAAAAAAAAAAAAAAAAAAAAAAGGACACTATCCAGAAAGTGAAATGACAATCCACAGAATGAGAGAGAATATTTGCAAGTCTTATATCTGATTAGGGATTAATATCCAGAATATGTAAGGTACATAAAAAATTTCACTATAACAAAACAACAAATAAACCATTTATTTATTGGTTCACAAATGGGCAAAGGATGTGAATAAACATTTCTCCAAAGATATACAAATAGCCAATAAATACATGAAAAGATGCTCAAGATCATTAGCCATCAGGAAAATGCAAATCAAAACCACAGTGAGATCTCACTTCACACCCACTATGATGGCTATTCAAGACAAAAACAAAAAGAAAAAAACAGAAAATAGGAAGTGTTGGCAAGGATGTGGAGAAATTAGAACACTAGTGTATCGCTGGTAGGAATGTAAAATGATACAGCCATAATGAAAAAGTTTGGCATTTCCAAACTGTTTAATATAGAATTATCATATGATGCAGCAATACACTTCTGAGTATATATACCCCAAATAATTGAAAGCAGGGACTCAAACAGATACTTGTATACTAATGTTCTTAACAGCATTACTGACAACAGCAAAAGGTGGAAACAATCTAAGCGTCCATGAACAGATGAATGGAAAAGCAAAATGTAGCATATACATGCAATGGAACACTATGCAATCTTAAAAAGGATACATGGCATAACACAAATTAACCTTGAAAACATTATGCTAAGTCAAACCAGCCAGACATAAAAGGACAAATGTTATATGATTCCACTTAAACAAGGTACCTAGAATAGATAAAAGACAGAAAGTAGAATAGAGGTTACTAAGGGACAGAGGTAGGGGAATGAATTATTGTTTAATATGTACAGAGTTTCAGTTTAGGATGATGAGAAATTTCTGGGAATGGAATAGTGGGGATGGTTGCAAAATATTGTGAATATACTTAACACTACCAAATTATACACTGAAAAATAGTTAAAACAGGCTGGGCATGGTGGCTTACTCCTGTAATCCCAGCACATTGGGAGGCTGAGGCATGAGGATTACTTGAGGCCAGCCTGGGCAACACAGCGAGGCTGTGTATCTACAAAAAACTTTAAAAATTAGCTTGGCATGGTTGTGTGCACCTATAGTCCTAGCTACTCAGGAGGCTGAGGCAGGAAGGATTGCTTGAGCCTAGGCATTTGAGGTTGCACTGAGCTATAATCACGTCACTATACTACAGCCTGGGTGACAGAGCAAGACCCTATCTTCTCAAAAAAAAAAAGTGCCAGATACATAGGGAACAGAATAAGACATATAATACATAAATATAAAATATGTGCCTATAAAATAATATTCATGTTGCAAGAATGCACACACAGATTATTAGAATTAATGAGACAATAACTCAAATTCTAGACCTAACAATGCAATGAAGTTTCAATCACTATCCTAACTATATCTTTTTATGGAACAAGGTGATCCTAAATTTTGTATGGAAATGTAAAAGGTCAAAAATAGCTTACACAATCTTAAAGAAAACAAGGTGAAAGTATTTTATCTATTAGGTATTAAGACTTATAAAAATAGCTAGACATGGTGGCATATGCCTATCATCCCAGCTACTGGGTAGGCTGAAGCTAGAGGATCACCTGAGCCCAGGAGCTCAAATTCAGCCTAGCAACATAGCAAGACCCTATCTATAAAGAAAACAAAACAAAATAAAAACAAAACAAAAACCAGACATATAATATACAAAATCATTACAATTAAGATAGGAGGGTAATTAAGGTATTATAACTAAGATAATACAAGGAATGACAATTAGGCTAATAGAATATGATAGAGTCTAGAAACAGACATACATGTACACAATTAATTTACAATAAAAATGGCATTGAAGAGCAACAGAGAAATTATGGTCTTTTCAATAACTAATGGTGGGACAACTGGATAGCCATTTAGGAAAAAAAAAAAAAAGAAACTAAGTCACTATCTAACATCATATACAACATAAATTCCAGATCTATATCTGGAACATGAAATAATGAAGGTTTGGGAGGTAATATATAGAAGATATTTTTGGCCTCCTTAAGAAGACAATATTATATATGGGCAATAGATAGATATTGACTATATATTGTCTTCTTAAACAGGAGACAAAAAATAGGAAATACTGAAAAGTTTAACCACATTAAAATTCAGCCTGCTGCCTTCCTATGTTCACCAACCCTAAACTATTCATAACTTTTTCTCAGTCCCTACCAGTTACCTTCTTTGAAAGATCCATATTAAACCAGTTGAATCATTATCCCAAATTCCTATAAATACCCTACTCTACGTCCCCTTTTTGAATCATCACCAAGACTTTGTGTCACATTGTTCTTCCTTGCTACAGTAGGCTTAATAAGCTTTGTTTGATGAACAGGTTTCCTTACTGATCTTTTGGGAGCATAACTACTGATAGTTCTCACTTTTTTGAGATATATACTGAAATCTTTAGAGATGAAATTATATTTCTGAGATCTGCCCCAAAATTGGTTCAATAAAATAGAGAAAGTAGATAGAAATAGACAAGATTAGTCATAAATTGTTGATGTTGGATAATGATATATGGGAGTTCATTAGACTATCCTGTCTATTTTTGCTTATGTTTTAAATTCTCTATATTAATAAATGAGTTATACTTCTTTTCATAGTCCTCAAGAGGGGAAGCTTGTTAAAGTCATAGTCAAGTTACACTATATGGCTGTGACTACCTGGCTTATATTTAGGAAACATCTAGTCAAATATAGCCTAAGTTATGCTAGATTTTTGCAGTCCGGCCACTGACAGAAGGCAGGGAAGAACAGACTGTTTGTAGATTTGAGGGCAATAATTCTTTTTACATTAGAACACCCCTAATGTAGAACTAAAATAGATATAATTAACTTAAATTTGACATTTAAATCTTGGTTAAAACAAAGAAGGGATAGAGAATATTTTCCGTGTTTTTTGCTTCATTTATTCAGACAGTTAAATGTGTTACAGTGAGCTAAATTTTTAGTTATGCTTAGAATGTGCTCCCTAATACATTCTACTCTGGAAAAATTAAGCTTCTTATTCTTTCTTAGAATCCTGGTCCCCGAAATTGGTCAATATTAGGATCCCATACACAAGCAGGGTGATGCTCAATTTGAGGTTTTGAATAGCTAGTCATATAAGTTGACTTTTCTGTGCATTTGTTTTGAGAAGGATCCAGTTCTGGTTGATGTCCTGGGAACCAGTGAGGCTCTCGCTTAAATCCTGAGGGCAGACAAAAAGAGAAGAAAACACAAATGGAAACAGTCAACAGCAAGGAGTTTTAGTAACTGATTTCAATCTTATTTCTAAGGGAATAAACAGTGAGTACTGTCAAGCTGAGAAAAGAGATAAGTTTTTCACTCATTCATTCGCTTATTCACCCATTCCGTTTACTTTTATTTGCATTCCTTCTATGTGCCAGGCAATGAGTTAAGTTCTGAAAATGTAAGAATTAAAAAGAATAGTCTACATACTATGGGTTGAAATTGGCATTTTGTTGTTGTAACTTGCATCATATGTTGTTTCAAAGTAGTGCCCAAACTGGAAGGAAAAATTAATAGATTAAGAATTTAGAAGTCTGTATCTAATATCAGGAAATAAAGGACAATATAACATGAATTCTAACAGGTTCTGTCATATTTTAGATGGACTAGAGGTCTATATGTTGTTATTCTATATCATTCTAACTTTCATATCTTTTGTATGTTTGTCTGTTTAGGAGAGATTTAAGGGCAAAACTCAGATAAATGACAAGTCTAGTTAGGCAAGGAGCAGGGGAGAAGCTATCCTGAGTCAGAAGACATTATTTATTTCTATGGATTAACAGATAAAGTCCAAACAGAAGCAAGAGAAGAAGAGTACCCCCCATCCTTTTGATACTTTACATATAATATAATATTCAACTTGATAGTAAAGTGGGATAGGTGGGTCCAGCTGAGGGACCCCTCCTCTGCCTCAACCACTTCACTGAACAGAAGCCTAAGAGAGCACTGCACTGGAAGTTATTAGATTAATTCCTTTCAAATGGCTACAGGCATTTCTTTTGCTAACAAAAGGCAACAATAGAAGAGAAATTCAGATTACCTGGGAAGGCAAGGGTTTGGGCTGCACAATATTCCTTAGGTCATATCTTTCTTGGTTCCAGTTGCCCATTAGGGTACGGTTCGAATAGGAATTCTCATTAGTGGTGCATCTCCATCCATACTGAGAAAACTTGGACATATTATTCCAGTCTGTCCACACTTCACCGTGACCATCTGCATTAATCAGGCTGCCATAGTGTGGGTTTGTGAGGAAACAGGCAAGGTTCTGTCTCTGGAAAAAGATAAGAACATTAAAAAAATGCTTACTCTTAGTACCTTTAGATAGTCTTTTGTGTAAAAAAAGAAAAAAAGAAAAAATGCTTATTGCACAAACCAGAAAAAAGAAAAGGCATCCCTTTCTACCTTCTGCTTTATATGGCCAAGTATAACACAAGCACACCTTACTAATGATCTAGGCTTTCCTCCAAATTTAATTGTTGTGGTTGTTTCTTCCTCTCCAGGCCCATGAACCCTTTGATCTATCCTCTCAATCAGCAGCAGTGTACAACTAAATAGATTAAATGCCCTCTTCCCCAAAAACAGGAAAACTTTAGTATCCCCAATACTACATGAAGGATTAGCTATATGTTTAGGTAACATAACAGTTTAAGGACTACAGGTATTGCCATAGTCAAAGAGAATAGGAAAAAGTGAGAGTTAAATGACTAGATAACACAATAAATGATAATTTGCTTCATTCTAGGCCCAGTTCAAATGCCTTCCCTGAAGTTAACTTCTCTCTCCTTTTATCTCACACAGAACTTATCTCCATATCTTCGATTGTATTTGTAACTTTCTACCATATGTTTTAGCTCTTTAAGTCCATGTTCTATCTCCTATGCTGAACTGTATACCCCTTGAGGACTGGATCTGTGTTTTATTCATCATTATACCCCATCTCTCTGCCTGCCCTCCCAATCCATAATGGTTTGCATATACCAGATGATCAACTTCATTTTTTTTTTTGCCAAAAGATGAGTCTGGTCCCCTGGCTTAGGAGCAAGGTGATACCTTTCCTGAAGAAGAGTAACTTGACACTAAGTAGGTTGGGTTGTTTGAAGAGTTCACAGAAGAGTGACAGAAATCCTTATGTAGCTGTTCCATGTTATTTAAAAGAGATGTCACCAAACCTGGCCTTCCCAGTTTTTCAAATATAGATCACTCAGATTACCATGCCCAAGCAGCCATGATTTGGGAATCACTGCCTACCTGTTTTCCCGCTGGCAGAGATAAAACTAATAATGTAGCGTTAAAGGATAGCATCCACCTTTGTGAAGACAGGTGCATGTACTGATGTCACTAAACAGCATGATGACTACAGTAGCTGGTCCCACATAGTCCAACAGGCCTAGTAATCAGACTGGTGACCTAGTGTCACTGTCTCTAGGGCTGGAATGACATGACCATCCATTCAGTTGTCCAAGCCAGAAGCCTAGGGCTTATCTTTGACTCTACCTTCTCTTTCGACATTCATCCACTCACTAGGTCTTGTTGATTTTTCAATCAGTCCACTACCCTCCGTCCCCACTGCCAAGTGCCAATTAAGATCACCATTAGCCTTGTCTCCATTACTGCAGTAGCTTCCTATCTTATCTCCTTGCCATCAGCCTGGTTCCTCCACAATCCTTTCTCCACAGGAAAGCAGAATTCTTGAGAATGAAAGTCTGATTGTGTTATCTTCCTATTTAAAAGTTTTCAGTGGTTTTGCACTATTTTCAAAATAAGGTTCAGCCTGTAAAATATGGCTTATAAAGCTCCATATGACTTCGCTTAACTCTTCAGTCTCACCTGTCACCCATTCTCTCTCCATCTGTTTTTCCATCATGCTTTTGCATATATTGTTCCTTTTCACTCCTCTTGACCAAGGTTAGGTCTACTTTTCCCCCCTTAGCTTTCAACTCAGGTTCATATCATCCAGGGACTCTTCCCACTTCACCGCCAAAACTTGGTAAGAGTCCCTTTTCAGGCCAGACACGGTGGCTCACGCCTGTAATCCTAGCACTCTGGGAGGCCAAGGATCACTCAAGGTCAGGACTTTGAAACTAGCCTGAGCAAGAGCGAGACCCTGTCTCTTCTAAAAATAGGAAGAAATTAATTGGCCAACTAGAATATATATAGAAAAATTAGCCGGGCATGGTGGTGTATGCCTGTAGTCCCAGCTATTCAGGAGGCTGAGGCAGAAGGATTGCTTGAGCCCAGGAGTTGGAGGTTGCTGTGAGCTAGGCTGACGCCATGGCACTCTAGTCCAGGCAACAGAGTGAGACTCTGTCTCAAAAAAAAAAAAAGAAAGTCCCTTTCCATACCATTCTGAATCTTTTCACTCATAGCACACATCCCACTATATCAGAGTTGCCTCTTTTACTGTTTGCATTTTCCATGAGACTGTAGGCTCAGTGAAATCATAGGCCACATGTTGTTCATCCCTGTATCTACCCACTCTCACAGTAGCCTGGCACATAACACGCACTCAATAACACTTCTTGAATGAATAGAAGATAGGAGATGGAAGCACCTGGAAACATTTTGAGCAGTAGAAACAATGGGATACAGTCATTTCGGACGACATGGAGGTAGTACAAAATCCTCCGTGTTAGGAACATGCAGGACACAGACCAATCTTTCCTTGGCCTCAGCCCCGCCTGGTTTCTTTCACTCAGAACACGCCTCACCTCTCTGAGCTAGTGACTGCTTGTGACCTCATGAAGGTGTCACGAAGTCACTTAGGGCCATACTCGAGCTAAAAGGCACTTTGATCTTCCCGAGGGGATGGGAGGGTGAAGGGACTCCGAAGTGGATGTTTCGCTTTTGCACCCATGATTATAGTCCTTGCTTGGAGTCCCTGCACGAGTTCGTCAAGAAAACCGGGTCCTGTGGTGCGTCATCAACCAGTGACGGATGAAGAAGGAGCGGGCAGAGACCCACGAAGGAAGTGACGTAAGAAACGAGCGCCACAGAGAACTCGAGAGGGGACCCCGGGGAGGCCATGGGCCCTCGGCGCCTCCTGTTGGTTGGGGAGGGGAATTTCTCCTTCGCCGCTGCTCTGAGCAGTACCCTGGATCCGAGCACTAGTCTAACCGCCACTTGCCTCCCGAACCTGGTCGATTTGGCCCGGGACCCAGTGGCCCGGGAGAATCTGCAGCGCCTGCGCGAGCGAGGTATCGAGGCCGGCCCCTTTGCGAAGCCCCGCCTAGCTGCCGGCACCTCCCAAAGTGAAAAGGGTGGGAGCGTGGGGATACAACCTTAGTAGGGACTGCCCTTGGATATTCACAGAAAGCCTGCTGCCTGTAGCTGGGCTGGTTTGCGCGGTTCAGGTTGGGAAGAGTATTTCTGTGGTTCCATGTCCTAAGACATCCTTCTGTCTATATTTCGCGCCTCCAAACTCTTTGCCAGGTGCTGAGGTACGTTTCGGTGTGGACTGCACCCGACTGGCAGGTGCCTTTGAACTGCACGACAGGAGGTTTGATCGAATTTATTTCAACTTTCCACACTGTGGACGCAAAGCTGGAGTAGCTAAGAACAGGGAACTGCTTGCAAAGTTTTTCCAGAGGTGAGGAAGGGAGAACCCTCACAAGTAAAATGTTTAGGATGTTTATAACGTAGTTACTGCACTCAAACATTTTAGTTGGGGAAATAACATAGACGTGTGTAAATTACTATGATATGTTTAAAGAGAACATAAAGCTCCAAAGGAACCCACAATCTAGTTTGAAAGGCAGACATTATTTAGCCCTAAATGCTAAATAAAAGTGCAAATAATGTGCTCTTGGGTGTGTAAAGGGGTAATCAATTATTTTTGGTAATGCAAAATAACAACAGCCAGTATAGTTTAATGGCTAAGAGCGTTGACCAAACTGCCTGGATCCAAATCCTGGCCCACCACCTAACTATAATAACAGATGTGTGATTTTAGGCACGCTTACTTAATTTTTACTTGCTTCATTTTCCTCATCTGTAAACTTGGGATGTTAACTAACTGCCTCATATAATTATTGTGAACTTAAAACCATGCTTTACATTATTATACCAAAATGTAAGATTCTATTTGAGGTGTCCTGTTGGTCATAGTTGTCAAGAAACTTTTCATAGAGGCACTATTTTAAGCTAGTATTTGAAGTATAGAATTTGAATTGGCAGGAGGGCAGTGAATAGAATTTTCTATATGGGGAGAAACAGCCTAAGCAGTGAATCATGTATAGGAACTTTGCAGACTTTGGTTTTTCTGTGACATATAGATGAACAACACAAATGCAAAGCAGATGACATTCTAGTCAGCTGCTATTATCAGTGGGTTGAACATTTAATTTATATTCTTGTTTACTTCTGGCTACTTTCTTCTGCTTTTTTGAGGTCTAACAGACCTTTGCAAATAAGTATGGTTGGATTTTAACTATTTCACAGCTAAGCCATGTGTATATTGCTAACTCCTGTGGTCATTTCTACTTGTTTCTGATAAATAGCTGGATTTTTTTCCCTATTAGCTGTGCAGATGTTCTTGCAGAGGAAGGAGAAGTCCATGTGGCATTGTGTAGAGGACAAGGTGGGACTCCTGCTGATAAGCCCCAGAGAGAATGGCACAACAGTTGGCAAGTTGTTGCCATGGCAGCTCTAGGGGGGTTCATTTTAAGTGATGTGCATCCCTTCAGCTGTGAGGCTGTGCCAGGGTACAAATGCACTGGATATAGGTAAGTATAACATAAGTTTAAGCCTTCTTCTTTTAAATTTCTCTCACTAGTAATAAAAATTCTCATAGACTCAGGCCCTGACTATTCAGTCCCTGGAAATACTTACTTTAATAATGACAGACTTCATTCTGGTGTCTACTTTGCCAGGAGTCAAGATAAGTCCTTTCATGTAGAAGGTGCTTTGAATCATATCTTCACCCGGAGCTTACCGCTTGAATGTTCTCAACCCAGAATCTTCAGGATCAAACTAGGTGACCAGTGGTTTTCCTTTCCAGAACCAGAAGCACTTGTAGGAAAGTTGAACAGGTAACCTGTTATTTTGCTGGAAATCTCCTCTATCTCTAGTTGTATCCTGATTGTCTTGGTGGCAACCATATATTTAATGGATAGTACATCAATTGTTAGTGATGTTGGTGCTTTGATTAATTGTCCGTATGGCCTCCTTAACCCTCTTTATAACTGAAAATTGTCATATTTCCTGATATATTCTAGGGATAGTGCCTGTCAGAGTTTTGAAATACATGATATCCTTCCTTATAGTAGATGATTTCCTTGTTTCCTTTCAAGATCAATTTGAAGATAATTGTTTTCTGTATAGTTATTTGTGTTTTTAATTCTAGCTACATTATAATTATTTGTTAAGTTAGAAAAATTATTTTTTTATGTGTTTAAGCAGGGGTTTCCTGGAAGCACCTTCATGTCATCCTATCAAAATCATAAATGAGAAACTCATTGCTGAATTGGGCAAAACTTTCCCTCTAAAAAGGCTGAAGTGTTCCTTCCCCTTGCTGCTCCAAGAAGACACCAGTGTTCTCCCTTCATGGAACTGTGACATTCTGTCAACTGCCTTTTGGATTAATCTCCGTGAACATAACTCCAATTCTGAGTCCCCAGATGGTGGGACAACACAAGATATGGAGGACTTTTTAGTATCATTTTCACAACTTAGCCTTCCCAAGGGTCCTGGAAGAGACGATGAAGAAGAAGCTTATGAAGGAATCTGTGGCCAGACCAAGGTCTGCCTTAGACCTTCTCTCCTAGTTCACATTCAGGCTGTCATCCAAGCACCAGACTTCCTCCCAGGTTCACTGCACATCCTCAGTGGACCTGTCTTTCAGAAGTGCCACATTTTGCCTTTTACAATGCCAGTATTTCATGAGATTTTACTTATCCTTGGGTTGAACCAAAATCTGAAGGATGGTTGTCTTCAGTCACTACTGGATCACCTGAAGGGCATTCTGGATAGCCTTCTGACCCAGAAAATGCTGGAGGACTCTAAGTTGAGTAGTTCAGTGGAATTTGTTCTTCAACCAAATGGAAAAGATTATATGATTTGTGCAGAGGTTCATAATTTGGGTCCAGACTGTGCCAAGGACCTAATTATTGGGTCTGTCACCACATCTGCTGCAAGCATTACACATAAAGACCAGTGTTTTGTGTTTGTGTCTATGAACTTGGACTTATTAGCTATGCTTGTGTGGAGTATTTCTGACTGGAGAATATTGTGGACCTTTGATAACCGTTTCCTGAAAAATTTTGTCCCTGAGAAAATGGAGCCCTTTAAAAGCTATTCCCTGTATCCTCCATGTTATGTACATGATATTAGTTTTTGGTTAGATGAGAAGAAAGGATTTGATGAACTTGAGTTTCACACTGTGGCCCGAGCAGTGTCCCAGGACACTGTTATATCTGTACAATTCCTTAGTCGTTTTCAGCATCCAAAGACTGAACAGGTCAGTCTCTGCTATAGATTGACTTACCAGACCTGTGACAAGGCCCTCACCCAGCAGCAGGTTGCATCAATGCAGTCCCAGTTTAGGAAGGAGATTGAACAGCGACTACATGTTATACCTCGGTAGTTTAGTAAATTCTTTTCTACAGTGTGATCCTTCATTGGTGTGGATGTGGGTAAGAGCGACCAACTTGCAACCAGTAGTCCTTTCTAGACTGTGCTTTTTTTTTGTAAAATCTTTTACTTTGTGACTATAGCCACTGTTGGTTGACCTTAAAGATGCCTCAACTCTTCCACCTAAAATTATAAACTATAATATGATTGGTGATGTTTGCAGTTGTGCAGTATTTTGGTCCTGAGTAGTGACTATGACAACAAACAAAATAGCATCTTGTACTTGAGATGCTCTATTGCTGAAGAGGCAGTAGAACTTATTTTCCAAACTGTCAATTCTTCTTCCCTTAGCTCTATTGTATCATTTCATTAAGTCAACTTATGAGAGGAGTTTTTACAGTCCAATATTTATTAGTTTGCTAAGTTGCAAAGATTCCATAATTATTATTGGTTATTATATAATCATCATACCATCATCATAATTTTTTTTTGTGGTTGACTATTGATAAAGTATGAAAATAATAAGTGTCAGATTTAGAGTTAACATTGGGTCTAACTCTAAAGCCTGTGTTCTTTCTGCCACTTTCTGTTACTTCTCCTTCCCCAGTCCTCTTCAACAGTGATCACTTAACTGTGACTAAATTTTGCCCCCTAGATTTTGGGGCCTTCTGTTGTAAGTATCTCTCAGGGACACTGGGAAATTTGTTCAGCCCAGGACTCTGCAGAATGCGGTACTCTAACATGAATTAACGTATGTTCCTGTTAATAGTTAGGCTCCTCAGATTGGAATTATATTGTAAACGCTGTGAAGGAAATGACTTTCTTATTTATTTTTGGAGAAAAGCATGTAGGAAGGCAAGAATGGAAGTAAAGAGACAAATTAGGAGGGTATTATGACAATGCAAACAGGAGATAATGATGACCTGGACCAAGATTGGATAATACTTAGAAGGACTTGCTGATGAATTAAATGTATGTGTGTGTGTGAGAGAGGAGTGGAGTTAGAGAAATAGGGGGATCAAGCTGGGTTTTTGACCTGAGTACCTAGAACAGAAGTGTCAGTAAGTGGGATGGGAAAACTGCCATAGGAGTAAGTTTGGGGAGTAGGATAAAAAATCAAGGGATTTTTTTGTGTATTACTGAGCTCTCCACACAGACTGTTTGTTAACTGAGGGTAGGTAATGTGATTTATACCTTTCTTCTATCCCCAGTAGTGCCTGGTACATGGATAAGGTAGCATTTGAACTGGATTTTAAAACGAGTAGGGATGTGGCAAGGGAGAATTGTTAGGTAGGGAGGGTGTGCATTTCAGGCAGAGGGCATACATGAACAGAGATATTGATATGGGAACATTTGGGGCACTTTCCCGGCTAGTTGGAATGTAAAGTGTGTATAGGAAAGTAGTGACAGAAAAGATTAGAAAGGTAGATTGGAGCTGGAGTTAGTTCACAAAAGACCACATGCTGGAATGCTGGGATAAAGTTTGTACTTTATTTGGCAGGCAATAGGAAAAACTGGTGATTTTTTTTTTTAGAAGCCTCTTCCCAGAAGAATCTCTGGTGATTTTTTATTAAGGAAGTGACACAGTAGTGCTTTGGAAAGATAATTGGGTAGTGTTGCACAGGATGAATTTGAGATGGGAGATCCCTATAAAGATGCTACTGTAGTAGTCGTTGGGAGAGGTAGAAAGGGACCTGCAATAGAGCTAAATGAACAAGAGAAGATGGATATATGAGATATAGCTAAGGATGTTTAGCTAGATGTTTAGCTGGATGTTTCAACTTGGTTACTAATGACTGCATGTGGGAGTTGAGCAATATGATCAATCACCATTTTCAATACTTGGGAATTTTTAGTATGAAATCATAACCTTTTGGGACCTTGTCAAGTTTAATACTCCCTCTGTGAACTTGTTCCCATTACTGGTATGGAACTCTGCAGGGGGGGCTAGAGCTCTGGGATTAGGGTGTCAGGATTAGAGGAATGGCCCTCAAGAGTCACAGGTTGGTAACATCAATGTATCAGTATAAAAATATCTGTATGAAATCAAGAGCTTTTTCCTGATCTGGTGGGAAGAGCATGGGCTTGTGGTAAGACAGTCCTGGGTTAGAATATGGCTCCACCATTTACTAGTTTTGCAACCTTGGTCTTCAGTTTCTTTGTCAATAAAACAAAGCTGTTGTATTAAATTTAAAAACGGATAAAATATATAAAATGCCTACCACAATGCTGTAGTAGCAATGATAGTGACAGATGTCTGGCTCAATTTGTTGCACAGAATTTCGTCAGTTTACTCTGCCATTACCAGTTTGTTTCTCTGATGCACTCATTAGCGAACAGGCTGTCTCTGTCACTCTCCCTGAAATACATAGAAGGCAAGGTGTTGAAATGACATTTTAAGGATTTCCCCTTTGGTAGGCAGCTGTGCTATGATCTTTAACTGAATACCTCTTCACATCTCACTTTGTAGATTTGTTTAATCACTTTCTATTTGTGCTTTCATTTAAATAGGGGATCTAAGGAACGATTTTTGTAAGGGAGTGGAGAATGCTGAAAAGTGAGGAAGAGTGAAGAGAAATGCCCAGAGTTGGAAGTGGAAGGGGTAGCCATGATGAGAAAAGTCTCAAGTCTCAGGTCCTATATCTTTGCTACTACGGGATTTACCCCAATTGGCCCAATAACATCATAATTTAGTCCTTTCTGCGCATGTCAAGGTCTTTTGTCCCTCGGCGGACACCGTTTGCCAGCCAAAGCTATGTCTCCGCGCTTGTAGACTTCCTAGGGTGCCAAATCCTACCTTTTTCCCCAACCTTGCCATGGCGAGCCGAGGGGCTCGGCAGCGCCTGAAGAGCAGTGGGGGCAGCGCGGGCAGCGGTGGGGACACGACCCCGGCCGCGGACAAGCTGCGGGAACTGCTGGGCAGCCGAGAGGCGGGCGGCGCGGAGCACCGGAGCGAGTACGTGTGCGGGCGCGGCGGGGGCGTGGCCGGCCCGCGCTGCTCGGGCCGCCCGGGGAGGGTCTCTTCTGCGCCGCGCGCGGGGCTTCCAGCTGCCCGGCCTCCGGGTATAAGGCCCCGGCTCCCTCTTCAGCTAGGTCCTTCTCTACCTGGGCAGGCTGATGTTCGGTCTTCGCCCCGCTTTAGATCCCTCCATCTCGGGTCCCTTCTCTCTTGTAAAGATACCTTGGAGTGCAGATCTGTGATGGTGGCCCAGTCTCAGAGTGGGCTGGTTTGGTGGTGGTAGACTGGGCAGAGCCCCTGTGGGAGATATTGGCAGGAGCAAAGAGTAAACCTTTTGCAACTGTTTCTCAGCTTCTGGTATTCCCCCACAAGTGCTGACCCTTTACTTTATGTGGGCCACCCAACCTCCAGCACCTGCAACCACAACCGCCTCTTCCCAAGCCTGGGAGACTGCATGTTAGAACTGCATTAAAAGAGCTGGCAGCATGTGGAATGGGAGGAGGTTATGTACCTTGCACATGTTAGGCCTCTACTCATTTGAACATAGAGGAAATGAATAAAGCCATGGAAAGTGATGACCTTGTTAAGGAAAGATAGAAAAGGGGAGCGAGAGCTTTGTGGCCTTCAAGTGAGTGATTAGTTGGCATGGGATAAATGGAGTGCCGTAGATGCAACAAGCTAAGGTGTATGAGTTAACTTACTGTTTAAAAGCAGGAAGTGAACAGAGTGATTGATTAAAGTTGTAATTCTGTGGGAAGATCACTTGAGCCCTGGAGCTGGTGTCCATACTGGGCAACATAGGGAGACCGCTGCACCTCCCACCCACCCCATTTTGGAGAATTGCTTTTAAGTCTTAATTCTTTCTGTATTCATTTTACTGAAAAAGAATAACTAATAGTTCACCTATTTAGTTGAATACCTTAAGTGCTTTGATGTGCCTTGCCCTTCTTGCCCCTTCTGTCTAGTTTTAGTCCTTCTGGTTAGCAGGTCCTTCCTGACACATACTTTTTTTGCCTCTGAACAGGTTATCTGGGAACAAAGCAGGACAAGTCTGGGCACCTGAAGGATCTACTGCTTTCAAGTGCCTGCTTTCAGCAAGGTTATGTGCTGCTCTCCTGAGCAACATCTCTGACTGTGATGAAACATTCAACTACTGGGAACCAGTAGGTGATTTCTTTAGTTTTCTTTTTTTGTTCCTGATTTTGCTGCTTGGTACTTATTACCAATCAGGAAACAAATAATATATGAGTGTACCCATTAGTAAAATAACTGTATTTTCACCTTTGTATTCTAAGCTGATGATTTACCTACTATTGAAGGCTGCAGAGAATTTAGCTGGTTTACTCAAAGGTGTAATTTGTAATTTTCTTTTAAATTTTTAAAAATCAAAATAATACTTGGAGTTAGTTTTTAAAGTTAACAACTACTGCAAACTTAAAGGAAAAATAATAGCTCTCTTTCCACTTCTCATGTCCAAATCCCACTCCTCAGAGGCAACCACTGTTTTTGAACCTTTTCTCAGCTTTTAAAGTTATTCTGATGCCAAAATAAAGTGTTACTAAGTAATATGCTTATACTGTTATTTATTGATTTATACATTATCTGTTGATTTCTTTTTTTGTTTGTTTAGTTTATGTTTTTTGAGACAGGGTCTTGCTCTTTCACTCAGGCTAGAGTACAGTGGCATCATCACACTTCACTGCAACCTCCAACTCCTGGGCTGAAGTGATCCTCCTGCCTCAGCCTCCCGAGTAGCTGGGACTATAGGCACATGCCACCACGCCTGGCTGATTTTCTATTTTTTGTAGAGACAGGATCTCACTTGTGCTCAGGCTGGTCTCGAACTCCTGGCCTCAAGCAACCCTTCCATTTCAGCCTCCTAAAGTGCTAAGATTACAGGGATGATGCACTGTGCCTGGCCTGTTGACTTCTATTATTATTATAGAAAATTCAGAGATAAAATTTTCTGATCACATTTTGCATCAAAAAATAGAGAAAGAGGGCTGGGTGCGGTGGCTCACGCCTGTAATCCTAGCTCTCTGGGAGGCCGAGGCAGGCGGATTGCTCGAGGTCAGGAGTTGGAAACCAGCCTGAGCAAGAGCAAGACCCCGTCTCTACTATAAAAGACATATTAGCCAGGTGTGGTGGTAAGTGCTTGTAGTCCCAGCTACTTGGGATGCTGAGGCAGCAGGATTGCTTGAGCCCAGGAGTTTGAGGTTGCTGTGAGCTAGGCTGACGCCATGGCACTCACTCTAGCCTGGGCAACAAAGTGAGACTCTGTCTCAAAAAAAAAAAAAAAAAAAAATAGAGAAAGAATGCTTAGTGTAGGTAGTTTAAGGAGAATGTAAGATTTAGAGTTTTCCTGTTTTGACTAAAGACTATTTTTAAAAAATAAGCAAAGGGTAAAATTGAAGCCTTCAGTGTTGCCTAAACAACAATCTTTGCAGAATTTATAATGTATGAATATTTTTAATATTAATATTTAATATTGAGTCATTTTGATTTTTTAAATCCATTTATTACAAATCTTGCTGAGAATGTCAGCATTTTTTGTGTACCTTTGTCTCTTTAATATTTCTACTTGGAAACTTCACTTGCATCCTCTTAACAGGGATTTTTGGCCAATGTAACCCTGAATTCATCTGTTTTTGTACTTTTAGACACACTACCTCATCTATGGGGAGGGGTTTCAGACTTGGGAATATTCCCCGGCGTATGCCATTCGCTCCTATGCTTACCTGTTGCTTCATGCCTGGCCAGCTGCATTTCATGCAAGAATTCTACAAACTAATAAGGTAAGGGCAGGCCAATCTCAAAACAGTCACAACTAATCAAGAGGTGAGTCTCTGGAATAGTTTTGAGAAAAGGGCAAAATAGATGGGTAGTTAAGAAGGGACCTTTTTTTAAAGAAGAATCATTTATTCATTCATCATTCAACAAATATTAATGGAGCAACTTTTATTTGGTAGACACTATATTAAGTGCTGTGGCTGTAACAGTGACCAAATCCCTGACTTTATGGAACTTATATTTTAGTGGTGAAGATGAACATTGAACAGTAATTCTAAATGCACTGGGTCTTATGGAGGAAAAATACAACTTACAATGGAATAGCATATTAAGAGAGACTAATTTAAGTAGAGTGTTGAGGAATAAGTCGGTGTTAACTGGAACCTAACCTGATTAGTTTTCAGAAACTTGACTGTGATGGGTCTTGGTATGGATTTCTTTGGGTTTAACATGTTTGGAGCTTACTTAGCTTCCTGAATCTTTAGGCTTATGTCTTTTGCCAAATTTGGGAAGTTTCTAGCCATTATTTTTTATTTATTTATTTATTTTTGAATACTTTTTTAGCCCTATCCTGTTTCTCCTCTTTTTTTGGAAATTCAATGTGACACGAATGTCAGGTCTTTTATTATTAGTCCCAGAGGTCCATGTGGCTCTATTCATCCCCTCTCCTGCCAGTCTGTTTTCTCTCTGTTGTTTATATGGAGTAATTTCTGCTTTTCTGTCTTCCAGGTCACTGATTTTTTTCCTCTGTCCCCTCCCTTTCCTTAGTCCCATCTTTGCATTTGATTTTGTTTAGTATCTTCTATTTCTTTACTGAGACTTTCTGCTTTTTCATTTGTTTCAAGCATGTTCTTAATTGCTCCTTTAAGTATTTTTACAATGGCTGCTTTAAAATTCAGATAATTCTAACATCTCTGTCATCTTGGTGTTGGAGTCTATTGACTTTTTCATTCAGTTTGAGATCTTCCTGGTTCTTGGTATGACAAATAATTTTTCAGTTGAAAGCTGTAAATTTTAGGTATTGTTTTATGAGACTCTGGATTATTCATGGGCTTAGCATGCTTTCATTGCACCACTGTGCTCCTCAGATCTTATTTAAGCCTTCTGTTTTAGCCACCTTCTTTTTTTTTTTTTTAACTATTTTAAATTTGCTCTCTTATATTCCTGCTGAATGGCCAGCTTCTTTTAGTACTACTTACTCCAACAGGGGAAAGAAGGTTGAGGGGAATGTCTCTACATTGTTCCTGCCATGTAGTACTAGAACTCCAGGTTCCTTACTGGACCTCCATTGACCCCTGAGGAAGGGGGTCCTCTTTGTTATTGCTGAGCAGAGGTAGGAGGTCTAACTCCCTACTAGGCCTCCGCTGATGCCACCCAAGCAGGTGGATAGGTGTACTTTGCTACTGACAGGTTGTGGGTGGGGGTGGAAGTCCAGGCTCCCCAAGTGGTTGCCACTGATGCCATGGTAGGGGAATGACTCATTACTACCACCAAAGATGAAAGTCCAGGCTTTCTGCTAGACCTTGAATACATGGGTGCAAGTGGGGTCACAGTTTTTTTCTGGGGTGTTTGGCCAGAGTAGAATGGCTACTATCTAAAAGGTTTATTTATTTATTTATTTTATTTTTAAAATCATACTAGGCTACCCTATTCTTGGTCCTTTGGCTAGAGAGAACAGGCCTTGGTTGGAGCATTTTTGTCCATACCCATGGGCATTTCTGGTTGGCAACTTCTTTAGCTTCATACCTGGAATATGAAAGGCAAAAAGAAAACCCATGGAATTTACCGCTGTGTTGTTCCTCATGTCCCAAAGTCTGTAGTCAGTCTGCCTTCTTCTCTCCACCTTTGAGAGTCTTCTTAGGCCTGCTTTAATAATAGTGTCCAGAATTTTTGGTTTACTTAGCAGGAAAAATAGGGGAAAAGTCCATTTTTATTGAAACAAGTCCCTGATTAAGAGAAATGAAGGATAAGTAGGAGTAGTCTACATAAGGGAAGAATGAAGATGAGGGAGGAAGTTGGGAACAACAATCTTCTAGACTGATGACCTTGAGGCTGGGAAGAAGGCCAGCAGGGACTTCTTGTGTAAATAGTTTGATACTTGAAAGAGAGAGGGAGTGGTGGGGTGAATTAGATGAGGCTGAGAGGTAGGAAGAGGCCAGAATTATATAAGACTTGGTAGGATCTATTAGGGAATTAGACTGTCTTGTTTTTTCCCTAGCTACATTAAGTGAAGCCACAAGGAGGTTTTAGACAGAAAAGAGATGTGATTGCATTTGCATTTTGGAATGATCAGAAGGTAGTACTTTTCTGAACGTTGTCCCTCCCTTCCTTACCTAGCATCTCGTTTCTAGATTTTGAACTTGTCAGAGGAAAGATAATATAGGATAAAGGTCTCAGTAGAGAACTAACAACATGCAATGCATAGGGTTTTTTTTTTTTTTGAGACAGAGTCTCGCTTTGTTGTCCAGGCTAGTGAGTGCAGTGGCGTCAGCCTAGCTCACAGCAACCTCAAACTCCTGGGCTCAAGCAATCCTATTGCTTCAGCCTTCTGAGTAGCTAGGACTACAGGCATGCACCACCATGCCTGGCTAATTTTTTCTATATATATCAGTTGGCCAATTAATTTCTTTCTATTTATAAGTAGAGACGGGGGTCTCGCTCTTGCTCAAGCTGGTTTTGAACTCCTGACCTCGAGCTATCCGCCTGCCTCTGCCTCCCAGAGAGCTAGGATTACAGGCGTGAGCCACTGTGCCTGGCCATGCATAGGGTTTTTATTTCACTTGGATATCTACTATCTCTTCAAATTTGACATGTTCAACACAGAATTCTTTCTCTTATACCACTAATTCTCTTACATCACTGATGTGAACAGTGAGTTAAAACAGAAAGAAAGATTTCCCTTCTCCTCTTGTTCTTACTTCCAATCTCCTTTTCTGCCTTGGTTCTGCCAGTGTGAGCCAACACAGAGCCATTTGGCAAAGGGGAATTGTAGCGTATTGAGTCCCAGCTCCAGCATCATAATACTGAAAAGGGTGGTTGCTGCTGAGAGTGGTAATAACTCACACCATTAGTGATGGCTAGCTTTCTAACTTATTGCTACCCCAAATGAGGCACCTTTGTATTGTCTCCTTATAGATTTGTGTGTGAATTTCTCTGAAGTGTACACTTAGGAATGGGATACCACACATAGACCTGTAGGCTTTCTTAATTTCACTGGGTTCTACCAGGTTGCTCTCCAGTGGTTATACGATTGATGTTCCCTGCAGTGATACTCCAGGTTCTATCTTCCTTACATCTCCCAAGTACTTGATAGTTTTGACTGACTCATTTATGTGATATGATTCTCATTTTAATTGAATTTCTGTGATTACTAGTGATGTGGAGCATTTCTTGCTGTATTTATTAGTCATTCAGATTTCCCTTTCTGTGAATTATGTATTCACATCCTTTGCCTATTTTCCTATTGGGTTTTCTGTTTTTTCTCCCGATTTGTAAAAGTTCTCAATAGTAACCCCTTGTAGGTTTTAGATACTGTGAATCTTTTCTCTTAGACTGTCACCTCTCTATTAAATTTATCTGTGGTCCTTTGTTGAACAGAAATCTTTAATTTTGATACAGTCAAACCAACCAATTTTTCTATTATGATTGGTGGGTTTCAGATCTTTGTAAAAGAATCCTGCTTCACCATAGGTCATAGAGATATTAGCTTTTTTTTTTTTTTTGAAGACAAGGTCTCGTTTTGTTGACTTGTTGACTGGGCTGGCTAGAGTGGTGTCATCATTGCTCACTGCAGCTTCAAACTCCTGGGCTCAAGTGATCCTCCTGCCTCACTCAGCCTCCCGAATAGCTGGGACTACAGGTATATGCCCAGCTAATTTTTTTTTTTTAAATAGAGACAGAGTCTCGCCGTGTTGCTCAGGCTGATCTCAAACACCTAGCTTCAGGGGATCTTCCTTTCTCAGCCTCCCAAAGTGCTAGGATTATTTAGGTGTGAGCCACTGGGCCCAGCCCAATTAGCTTTTAATTTTACTTTTCGCATGTAAGGCTTTAATCATTTGAAGTTTATTTTTATAAATTGTGGGAAGATCCAGCTTTATTTTTTGCTATATGGTGAACTGGATTTTCTAGTACCATCTGTCAAATAATCCATCTTTTTCCTTCTGATTTCTCAAGCTACCTCAATCATAGACCTCATTCTCATATGCATGTGGGTCTGCTTCTGTCATCTGTATTCTTTATCAATTTGTCTGTTAGTACTATAAAGCTGTTATTGTTATGGCTTTGTAATGTATGCCAGTATCTGGTGAATGAATTTCTCATTTTGCCCTTTTTAAAATTTATGTTTTATCTTCTTCTTCTTTTTTTTTTCTTTTTTGAGACAGAGTCTCACTTTCTTGCCCTGGCTAGAGTGAGTGCCGTGGCGTCAGTCTAGCTCACAGCAACCTCAAACTCCTGGGCTCAAGAGATCCTCCTGCCTCAGCCTCCCGAGTAGCTAGGACTACAGGCATGCGCCACCATGCCCGGCTAATTTTTTCTGTATATATTAGTTGGCCAATTAATTTCTTTCTATTTATGGTAGAGACGGGGTCTCGTTCTTGCTCAGGCTGGTTTTGAACTCCTGACCTTGAGCAATCCGCCCGCCTCGGCCTCCCAGAGAGCTAGGATTACAGGCGTGAGCCACCGCGCCCGGCCCAAATCTATTTTTATACAAATCTATTTTTGTACTCTCCTCTTATATGAGGAGTCCTTGAATGTAGACACCTCGTACCAAAATTATCTTTTAATAGCATATAGAATAGTGCTCAGTGTATATATGTTTTCAGTATGTTTTTATAGAATTAATGAATGAATCTGCACATTTACTGGATCACTTTATTCAACTCTTTTTGGATTTTTTTTTGGTTATAGTGATGAAGATGGAAAGTTATTTCCAAGTTATATGCACTTATATTAATCATACTATGTATTTAAATAGTGCTTATGCGCTGAGGAATTCAATGCTCTTAAACATGGTATTCTGTAGTATAAAAGCTATTCAAAAGCTATTCAATATAACCCCCTTAATTTTGTTATTTTTATTTTTTAAATTGATGTTCTTATTTATAAAATTAATAAAATCACAATGTTGAAATTTGGAAGCTATGAGGAAAAATATTCACCTAAATCCCACCAGGCTGCTGTAGCTACCCTTACCAATTTATTTCTTTTTAGTCTTTTCATATGCATATAGTTTCCATAACTATAATTCTGATGTATAAATAATACTGTATTATGCATTTTCACTTAATATTTTGTAATAATCAGTACCTAATACAGTTGTTTAAGAAGTGGTTGTTGAATGAATGAGCATTGTATCTCAAGAATTTTTCCACTGCCTTTGTTCCTATAAATTTTAATATCTATATAATAGTCCATGAAATAGATGTAGTATAATTTATTTAATAATTTCCTTATATTTGGACATTTTGTAGTTTTTTAAAATTTTTGCTAAATTAATAGGGCTGCAATTAACATTTTCATGAATGGAGCTTGCCCTCTACCCTCTGCCTCCTGGAGTGATAGATGTATACTGATACTGAGTCTAGAAATATGAAAATTTATATGGTTCTTGATATATACTGTTTTTCAAAAGGATTATACCAATTTGTAGTGTTACTGATGACAAATGAGAATGGTTTCATCTTTATGAGTTTTTCTAGCTCATATCTGTGACTTCTGTTTTCTTTCAGATTCTTGTCTTTTACTTTTTGCGATGTCTCCTGGCATTTGTGAGCTGTATTTGTGAACTTTACTTTTACAAGTGAGTAAAAAAGCTTTGCATCTAAAAGTGCTATGAGGAAGCCCAGTTTAGCTTAGGTTATCTTTCTTAATGGTCTGGGGGTAGTGATTAGAAATAAAAAACACTTTCCTTCTAGTTCTTGATATTATATCTGAAGTGTGACTTCTTGTTTGAAACCAACAGTTGAAGAGGAATACTGTACTTCTCGTTATCTTTTTCTTTCCTGAAGTTCATAAATACCATACCCTCATATTATTACTTTTAATTCTGTTAATATGAATACATATTTAACTGATCTTTACCTGGTAGGATTTAGTAGAACCTTATTTTTGGTCCTAGGATACATGATAATGATTTACCTCTACTCTAGAGCTTAGCTGATGGGACTTAGCTGATAGAGCTTAGCAGTGAGACTCACTGCTCTTATTTATACCCAGCACATCATTCTCTTTCACAAAATAGCTATTGGCTATTGGAATATTAGTGGAACTATTAAGCATGTAAGTGTTCCAGTAATAACAATAGCCACCTTTTTTACATGACACCTAGCAACATCTTATTTTAATAATGCTTTAGTATGCATTAAAAAGTATTTGGACTTAATGACCATTATTAAGAATTTTCCCACAGCTAAAAATCTCAAATTGAAAAAATCTTTGGACTTGACTCTGAGTAGAGCAGAGGGAAAAAACAAAACAAAGCCAGTGCTACCTTTGAGGACTGTAACGTAAGTTGGTCTTTATATGGGTTGGGGTCCGAATTTAAATCACTGGTGTGGTTGTCCAAGCCCCAAGTCGACACTTTATTTATTTGAAGGATCTGGAAATGCAGAGAATTTGTTTAAAAGTGTTCTGAATTGGTAGTGCCCCTGGCATCTGGCAAAAATTTTGCTAGAAAAATAGACCCTAACCCAGGTATCAAAGAATTACCAGTGATTAAGTTCTAGTGAAGAAGATATTATAATAAAAATAAATCACAAATAATAGAAGGGAGCACGACATTATGAGTGACAATCAGCAGAAATAATCAACAGAAAGCCTGACCTATAAAACTTCATTTATTAGGAATTATTAAAATAAGAATCTAAAATAAGTATATTTAACATTTTTAAAGATTAAAAGAGGAAATTAAACACATGAACAAGAAACAAGACTACAGAAATGACCAGGTAAATTTGAAAAAGAATCAGGATTTATAAGAATCATATAATATATGTATATAATATCAATAATAAATTATATACTATTGATATTTAAAATTCAGTGGATAGTTTAGACAGCAAATTAGACACTGCTAATAAGTGAACTAGTAAACTGAATTGAAAGATTGATTTGAAGAAATTACTCACAATGTGGTGCAGAGAGACCCTCCACCAAGAAAAGGTACTATAGAAGAGGTTAAGAAATGTGTAATGTAGAGTTGAAAGATCTAATATACAGCTAACCAAATTGTAGAAGGAGATGATAGAATGGGAAGAGGCAATGTTCAGGGAAGTAGTAGCTGAGAATTTTCCACAATTGATGGAAAGAGGATGGTAATCCATAGATTTAGTAAGCCTAATATATTCCAAGCTAGATACATAAAAAGAAATTAATAAAACTATGTATAACACCAGGGACAAAGAAAGATCTTAAAAGTTGACAGAGAACTAATAGAATACCTACAAAGGAATAGTAGGCAATTAGAAGACTTCTCAAGAGCCAGAGGACAAAAAAAGAATATCATCAAAGTGCTGAGAGATAATTACTGTCATCCTAAAATTGTATACTCAGTTAAACCGTCTTTTAAGACCAAGAGCTAAATGCAGACTTTTCAGTTAAAAAAAAAGAGAGAGAAAAAGAAACAAACGAAGCAACCAATGAAACAGAATTTTACCATTAACAGATTCTCACTAAAGGAACTTCTAAAAGATATACTTAGGAAGAAGCAAAATTATTTCAGAAAGAAATTCTGAGATGCAACAAGGAATCTGAACAAGGAAATGGTTAACACATGTATATATCTGAACAAATATTGACTAAATGAGGTAATAATATCTAAAAATGTTTAATTTAAGTTTTGTTTTTTTTTTGAGACAGAGTCTCACTTTGTTGCCCAGGCTAGAGTGAGTGCCGTAGCATCAGCCTAGCTCACAGCAACCTCAAACTTCCTGGGCTCAAGCGAGCCTACTGCCTCAGCCTCCCAAGTAGCTGGGACTACAGGCATGTGCCACCATGCCCGGCTAATCTTTTCTATATATATTAGTTGGCCAATTAATTTCTTCCTATTTATAGTAGAGATGGAGTCTCGCTCTTGCTCAGCTTGGTTTCGAACTCCTGAACTCAAACTATCCACCCACCTCGGCCTCCCAGAGAGCTAGGATTACAGGCATGAGCCACTGTGCCTGGCCATAAAAATGTTTAATTTGTGGAGTTTAAGAAATCTATGAGAAATAAGTAGAAGGAGATATATAGTTGCTTACATTTGAGAAACGCTGACTTAGATAACAACTTATTAACATTTTCATGAATCCTCTAGTTCAGGGGTCCTCAAACTTTTTAAACAGGGGGCCAGTTCACTGTCCCTCAGACCATTGGAGGGCCGGACTATAGTTTAAAAAAAACTATGAATAAATTCCTATGCACACTGCACATATCTTATTTTAAGTAAAAGAACAAACAGGCAAAAATACCCACATGTAGCCCACGGGCCATAGTGTGAGGACGCCTGCCCTAGTCTCTTTTTCTTATAACTACCATTTATTGAGCAACCATGTGCCAGGCACTTTCCTAAACACTTTGCATTGTCCTCACAAAAACTTTACAAAGTATGTATTAGTTATTATCCTCATTTTACAGATGAGGAATCTGACAGATTATGTGTCTAGAGTAGTATCTGACTGCTAGTAAATGGCAGAGCCAGAATTTGAACCTGAGCCCATCTGAATCTGAGGGCTATTATTTTTCACTACATCCTGCTGTCTTCCTGTTGATAGTAGACATAATCTTAACATGTAGATATTTCCTCTTAGATAGGAAGCATCTCTTCTCATGTCAGGAATAAGAATGTTTGGGTTTCTTATGCACACAAAATTGCCAAAAAACCTGTCAGGATAGGTCTCTATTTGATTTTAGATCTTCAGTGCTATCTGTGATGCAGGTATGTTTTTCTCCTTTGAAATGCCTAACCCTAATATTTGCTGTGCTAATAGTCTTTGCCTTTCTCCTAGGGCTGTCTGCAAGAAATTTGGGCTGCATGTGAGTCGAATGATGCTGGCCTTCTTGGTTCTCAGTACTGGCATGTTTTGCTCATCATCAGGTAAGAAAAAGGGTAGGTGAGGGGATAGGTTTACCGATAGTTCACAGCTGCATTGAAAGGAAGCACTTGTCCAGATATAGGTTATATTTGTATAACATGTCAATAATTTGCAGAGCACTATTGTTTACATTATCTTGATTGACCTTTACAACAATCCTATAAGACAAATATTTTCTCATTTTTACAGGTGAGGACATTGAAACTGAGGTGAAATGACTTACTAAAAGTTAAAATTCATAAGTGGTAGAGCTGATAGTTTCACCAGGATATTTTCTGTAACATTCTTTTATCAACCACTCACTTCCTTTCTTGGCCATTAGGGGAAGGAAATAATTCTGTTGTTTTGTCTAAGGATGCTCTTTGTGCCTAAAACCTGTTCTTGATAGTTCTGTTTTCTGCCCATTATTTGAAATGTATTCTGTAGAGGTGTACATCTTCTATTAGGCTTTATTCTCCATAAGCCCACACATTTGGAATAAAAGCCTTAATCTAGAGTGGTGGCCGTTAAGTTGTGCTGCCATTGATCATTTGAACAAAGGTGGCCTACTGCCAAAAGGTGTTCCCAATTCTCCAGAAAAATTAAGTTACTGGATATAATTGTCTCATTTCTAGTTTCTGCTTGTGTGTCCCGGAATCTAGTATGCACACTAAATATACACAAAATAGTATCTAGCACAAACTTATATATTGACTTTTCCCTCATTGACTATATCAAAACTGATGTTGTTCTGCAGAGACCTCAGGGCTCCACCCTGGAATAACTTTGAGAGCCACTGTCCTAAATGCATCTGAGCTCTACCCTTTGAATCAGCAGAGACCTCAGATTCCTTTGCTGCTTTTGTCCTCTACATTGGCAGCTGGAATTTATAGCATTTATTGGTGAAGGTGGTACCTCACATGTTTTTTTAGTTTTTTCACTACTCTTAAAATTGATCTTTATGTGTGGGAGATTCCTGGGAGTATCTTCAGTTCTGGAATTTCCACTGCGGCACAGATAAGTTGAAGGCATCCTTTGATACAGAGCCCCTGAACCTTTTGCTGAGGTTTTTAAATCTCACTGCCTATTTGTTGTGGTTCTTTCTGGAGTTGATAATTATTTTTCTTCTCTAGTGATGTGGACTTTCTGCAGCAGGAGAGGCAGATCTGCATTTTTGTGCAGTTAGTAGAAACACTTTGATCAATTGTTACTGTTGCAGAGACTAAGGCTCATGCTTCTGCTGTATACAACAAAGTTATGGTAGATGGAAATTATTAAGGGGCTGTGTAAAGACCACACTATCTATAGCAGCAGATGTGGGACACAAAGCAGTGCTACCATCCACTATCTGGCTCTTGAGGGTGTGGTGGCTCACACCTATAATCCTAGCACTCTGGGAGGCCGAGGCCGGAGGATTACTTGAGCTCAGGAGTTTGAGACCAGCCTGAAGGAGAGTGACACCCTGTCTCTACTAAAAATAGAAAAAATTAGCTGGGCATGGTGGTACATGCCTGTAGTCCCAGCTCCTCAGGAGGCTCAGGAGGATAACTGGAGCCCAGGAGTTTGAGGTTGCTGTGAGCTAGGCTGATGCCACAGCACTCTAGCCCAGGCAACAGAGTGAGACTCTGTCTCAAAAAAAAAAAAAAGGAATTTATGTAGGGGACAGGTTAGGACCAGGACAGTCTCAGAACAATCAGAAGATAAGCTTCTTCAGAAAAAAATTGTCAGCAATGGCTCTAAGTCTTTTGCAGTATATTCCCTGGCTGGAAATATAAGCTGGGGGTGTTCTTGGGGAACCTGGAATTTTGTAAGTTTTAGATTTAGACACGCCTGTAATCCTAGCACTCTGGGAGGCCGAGGCGGGCGGATTGCTCAAGGTCAGGAGTTTGAAACCAGCCTGAGCAAGAACGAGACCCCGTCTCTACCATAAATAGAAAGAAATTAATTGGCCAACTAATATATACAGAAAAAATTAGCCGGGCATGGTGGCGCATGCCTGTAGTCCTAGCTACTCGGGAGGCTGAGGCAGGAGGATCTCTTGAGCCCAGGAGTTTGAGACCAGCCTGAAGGAGAGTGACACCCTGTCTCTACTAAAAATAGAAAGAAATTAGCCAGACAACTAAAAATATATAGAAAAACTTAGCCAGGCATAGTGGCCTATGCCTGTAGTCCCAGCTACTTGGGAGGCTGAGGCAGAAGGATCGCTCGAGCCCAGGAGTTTGAGGTTGCTGTGAGCTAGGCTGATGCCACAGCACTCACTCTAGCCTGGGCAACAAAGCGAGACTCTGTCTCAAAAAAAAAGATTTAGAGTACAGGGCAGGAGAGGAATGGCATGGTTAGTACTATATACTTGTGCAATGTGTTGGTACTAAAAAAACAGGAGGGAGAAAATAAGAAAACCAGTGAACTTCATTTTTTTTAAGGAATAACACTTTCCTGCCCATTTCTGATACTGCATTGCCGAAAATATGTTCCTGATTATTGACATTTTGCAATGTAGGTAAATTTTTAATAGTTGTTACCTAATCTCAAACTCTTATCCTCCTCCCTCTTTTCATTTCTTTACTCTTACAGCATTCCTTCCTAGTAGCTTCTGTATGTACACTACATTGATAGCCATGACTGGATGGTATATGGACAAGACTTCCGTTGCTGTGCTGGGAGTAGCAGCTGGGGCCATCTTAGGCTGGCCATTCAGTGCGGCCCTTGGGTAAGAAACTAACACAGTTCCTGTCCCGTTTATCACTGGACATATATTAAATCTTAATGTTGGATTATCTCCATATTATCTGGGTAGCACCTAAAATTATAGGAATCAGTTTGGCCTACAAAGATTTAGAGAAATGGAAGACTATTTCTCTTAGCGCTTATTATTATGATTAATTCTAGTAAGAATGGTGACTGTTAAACATCTGCTATATATTAGGCACTGCTAAACCCTTTGTAAACTTTATCCTGAAACCTTACAGCAACTCTATAAGAGAAATGTAATTATTAGTGCTTTGTAAATGAAAAAGTGGACTCCAAGAGTTTGATTATTAATAATTTGCCTTTAAGATTATGCTTGCTTTTGAATCCCGGCCTTTCTGACTCTAGAGCTGATGTTTCTTACACACTACACCACCCTGTTCTGTGCATTTTTCTGGTCACTCAGGCTTGAAATCTAAGTTTCCTTCAGCCCTTCTTCTTTTTTGACCCTAGCATCTTTTTTTCTCAAGTTCCTTTTGTACTCTTTGTTCCCACCACTTCTATTCTAGTTTGTACTGCCATAAATTATTGTCTGTACCACTAGTAATTTAGAAAAAACATTGTAGTTTATTGTTAAGATTATTATAGAAATATTACATCTTTATTATTTTTAAAAGGATCAGATTGTATGAGGTAAAAAGAATTCCTAATTTTCTTCTCCTCTAGCCTAATCCTCAAAGATAGTCATTGCTAGTAGTTTTGTATATATCTTTCCAGAAATCGTCACTATGTGAATAAATGCACACACATACATATACATGTGCATATGTACCTACATTCTTAAAACAAATAGAATTATCCTGTATATATGTATATCTTCTCTTGTACATAGATTTGTATCATTCTTTTTATTAGTTGTATAGCATTCCATTATATGGCTATCCATAATTTATTTAACTATTGCTTTATTGGTAGACATTTGGTTTTCATTTTTTTGTTATCATATACAATGTTTCAGTGACCATTTTTGTGCGGATATCTTTGTACACTTGGAAATTTATGGGGTAAATTTTTAGAAGGGGTGTTAATAAGAGAATAGGCCATTTTAATTTTTTTTAAATGCCTTTTAAAGGCTGGCTTCCTCACCTTCATTCCTTTCTTCATTCTATTTTGCATAGCATCCTCAATTTGTTATATTTCTCATGATTTTTGTCTTAGGCCCTCTACTATACTTTCTGCTCTCAACCATCTTTATGTCTAGTCATCTCTCTTGAGCTTCACTCATATATTCCCACCTGCCTGTTAGATACCTCCTGAACTCATTATCTTCCCTCCATATATATTGCATTATGTGTTTCTATCCCAGTAAATGGTACCACTTTCTCCTTAATATTGAGTCAGAAACCTGAAAATTATCTGTGATTCTTTTCACTTTCCCACACCCTATAAATATCTTATGAATCTGACTACTTCTCTTCATCCCTCTCTGCTCCTAGGTTACTACATAGCCTCTAAATGATCTCATCTCTAATCTTAAACCACTGCAAATCTGCTCTCCACACTCAAATTAGAGTTATCTTCCTAAAATGCATATGTGGTCATATCACTTTGCTGTTTTAAACTCTACAGTAGTTTCTCCATTTCTCTCTGTCACAAGAATTGGCAAACTGTGGCCCATTGGCCAAATCTACCTGGCCATTTTTGTACAGCCCAAGAACTAAGAATAGTTTTTACATTTGTAGGCCAGGCATGATGCCTCACGCCTATAATCCTAGCACTCTGGGAGGCCGAGCTGGGAGGATCGCTCGAGGTCAGGATTTCGAGACCAGCCTGAGCAAGAGTGAGACCCTGTCTCTACTAAAAATAGAAAGAAATTAGCCAGACAACTAAAAATATATAGAAAAACTTAGCCAGGCATAGTGGCCTATGCCTGTAGTCCCAGCTACTCGGGATGCTGAGACAGGAGGATCGCTTGAGCCCAGGAGTTTGAGGTTGCTGTGAGCTAGGCTGATGCCAGGGCACTCTATCCTGGGGAACAGAGTGAGACTCTGTCTCAAAAAAAAAAAAAAAATTAAAGAAATTTTTACATTTGTAAAAGTTTGTTTAAAAACAATGCACATTGGCTGAGCGCGGTGGCTCTTTCCTGTAATCCTAGCACTCTGGGAGGCCGAGGCAGGCAGATTGCTCAAGGTCAGGAGTTCAAGACCAGCCTGAGCAAGAGTGAGACCTCGTCTCTACTAAAAATAGAAATAAATTAATTGGCCAACTAAAAATATATAGAAAAAAAATTAGCCGGGCATGGTGGCGCATGCCTGTAGTCCCAGCTACTTGGGAGGCTGAGGCAGAAGGATTGCCGGAGCTCAGGAGTTTGAGGTTGCTGTGAGTTAGGATGATGCCCCGGCATTCTAGCCAGGGCAACAAAAGTGAGACTCTGTCTCAAAACAAAAACAAACAAACAAAAAACAGTGCACATGCACACAGACACAGACACACAGGAATATGCAACAGAGACCATATATGGCCTACAAGTCCTAAAATGTATATAGTCAGGTCCTTTAAATAAAAAATTTAGGCCGGGCGCGGTGGCTCACGCCTGTAATCCTAGCACTCTGGGAGGCCGAGGCGGGCGGATTGCTCAAGGTCAGGAGTTCAAAACCAGCCTGAGCAAGAGCGAGACCCCGTCTCTACTATAAATAGAAAGAAATTAATTGGCCAACTGACATATATAGAAAAAAAAAAATTAGCCGGGCATGGTGGCTCATGCCTGTAGTCCCAGCTACTTGGGAGGCTGAGGCAGAAGGATTGCTCGAGCCCAGGAGTTTGAGGTTGCTGTGAGCTAGGCTGACGCCACGGCACTCACTCTAGCCTGGACAACAAAGCAAGACTCTGTCTCAAAAAAAAAAAAAAAAAAAAATTGGAACCTTACCCTCAGGCTGAGTGCAGGTTGATGTGGCTGTAGCCACTGCAAGGCTGAGGAGAGACAGAGAAACCAGGTTCTGCAAGAACAATACTCACTCCCTGCAACAAGCTGCTGTGAGACTGAGACATGAATGGGCCGCATTCCCCACATCTTTTTGCCCACACTACTCGTCTGACTGGGGCCTTGCCCTCTCTGGTCACAGGCTCACAGCTGGTGCCACTTTAAGAGTTTAATGCTGGGCTGTGCCCTACCCTTGGGCCAAGTTGAAGATGACGCAGCTGCAGTTGCCACCTGGCTGGGGAGGGACAGAGAAGACGAAACTCTACTAAGCACACATAGGACCATACCCACTGCCCTGTTTTGGGTGGGTGTGGGACTGGAGACTAGCCTGCCCAACCTATCTTAGCTAGCAACACCAACACAGACCATTTGGGGCCCAGTGGGTCACTCTACCATTGCTACTGCCATGACCCACATCACAACATCTGCCCAAGGACCTGAGAATCTGCCCACATACCCAGCCCACTGCTCTGAGCTTCTGAGTAAGCCGCATGGAGGCTCAAGAATTGGTGTTTGTTCATGCAAGAAAAGTGGAAGCACTTACTGAGAATAATGAGTGTAGTTTCTCTGGGGAGATATGACTATGGTGAAGGAGTAAGAAAAAAAGCAGTGTAGAAAGGAGCACTAGGGAAGAGACCACAAAAGACCAGAAACCCGGGGAGTCTAATGAGGGAGGAACAGATATTTTGTGTCCAGAGCAGCACAAAGACAAAGGGAGATGAAACTTGTGAAGAGATACTGGGTCTTGCCAAGAGGAAGTTCCTGGGGACCTTATATCAGTCTTATTAGCTTGGTACAGGGACTTAAAGGAAGAAATAGTGAAACGAAGGCAACACATATATGCTACTTGCATAAGGAATTTCAGTAAAAGAAAGAAGAGCAAATAGTATTGGAAGGAGATACATCAGAATTGAAGTCAAGGTCTCTACTATAAATAGAAAGAAATTAATTGGCCAACTAATATATATATATATATAAAAAAAGAATTGAAGTCAAAGTTTGTAATGTCATTATATTACTAAAATCCTAGTAAATCATGGAAGGCAGAGGTCAGTGCTTATTTATTTGGTAGGTGGATGTAGGACAATAGGGCACATTTACTTATAATTGACATATTTTAAATGTCAATATTTAAATGACATATTTAAATGTCAAAATACACATAAATATGTATACAGTGTAGATCATTCGGCAGCTCAGTGTTTATATTTCTTGCATAGCACTCTGATGGGCCCTGTGAAGACCATCACAGTACATTTTTGAGAAGACATCTTCTCACATACTAGCTTTCTTCCCTCATTGTAACTGGCAGAGACATCTTATTCTCAGCTGAGCAAGAGGTATGTGTGGATCTGATGTATCTCTGTCAGTATTTTATTTTATCCCCCACTCTCTGTTTCTCTGTTAAATAGTTTGCCCATCGCCTTTGATTTGCTGATCATGAAACACAGGTGGAAGAGTTTCTTTCATTGGTCACTGGTGGCCCTAATTCTCTTTCTGGTGAGTTTTCTTTTTTTCTTGTTTTGTTCTAAAGTTGTAATGAAAGGAACTTTGATGTGAAAAAGGGAACGTCAGGAGTTCATACCGTTTTTCATTCTCAGGTTTATCCTATAGCATTTTGAGAATGTTCCCAAAGCAAAACTTTACAATTGCTGTGTGTTTTCTGCTCTGTTTTAGGTGCCTGTGGTGGTCATTGACAGCTACTATTATGGGAAGTTGGTGATTGCACCACTCAACATTGTTTTGTATAATGTCTTTACTCCTCATGGACCTGATCTTTATGGTAAAACTTTATAAAATTTAAGAAAGTGTTAGGAGATAGCTTAATTTGCCTGAGCTTCAAAATTTTAATTCATTTGCCTCATTTCATCAAATACAGCATTTCTTTCCTGGTGATCATCTTTTCCTATTTTAAAAATAGAATGACATTTGAATATAGCACAGTGATGACATGTAGCCACTCAAATATTTCTCCTTGATAAATGTGATCGTCAGATACCAGCTCTCTGTTTGTCTTGCTATCTGTTATTCCCACTTTTAGAGTTTCAAGGACTCTATTCCATTGATGGCTTTCGATGCTACATTTTTTTTTTAAAATTAAAAGTCACTTTTTTCTCCTCTTATTAGAAAATCAATGATAACAAAAAGAAGAAAATAACAACATAATCCCATCTCTACATAGCTATTATCAACATGTGGGAGTATATTCCTCCAGGCATTTTCTGTATATATACACATTTGATGTTACTTTTTTAAAAACTTGCATTACTTTAATATTAGGCATTAGGAGAAAAAGTTTGGAAAATCTATAAACAGCGTATGGCATATGGGGCTGAGTTGGGGTCAGCATGTGAGGGTGGGTAGTTGGCCAGCTTGGGGTTAAGAGAAAAAAAATTGAATGCCTTTAGTCTGGGGAGGCTTTCTTCACTTTACTCCCATCTCCACCCCTTCCCTGATGCCTCTTACTCAGCCAGCTGCTGAGCCAGTTTTATTTGGCCCCTGAGGGCATTTGAGTTGATTATAGTTATAAGAGGAGGAGCTAAAGATCTTTTGGATCAGATCAGCCAAGGCAGTAAACATTTTGAGACAATGTTTTCATTAAAATAAGTATAGTTTCTTTTGCCCTAATCTAAGACCCTTTTGAGGGTCTTAGAGGGTCTTAGAGCATTCTATATATGTCATTGCCTTGGGGCTCTGCTATGAAGCAGGTTACTATTATCTCTGTCTGTACCTCTAATCAGTTTAAGTCTTGTTGTAGCCATGCCTATCATTTGCCTGTGCCACTTGGCCATTAGAACCGACAGGTTGAACATGGCGATTTAAAGTAAGAAATGAGTGAGATTTACTTGAACCTCCTAGGATTTGGGGAATATTGTCATTTTACATGGCAAGTAATATGTTAAAATAAGCAGTGTTTTGTTCGATGAATTCACAAACTGCATGGTTAGGTTAGAGAATAATCACTAAGTGAAAGAACTTTAAAAAGGCTCCTTTTTGGCTCCAAGATCCCTGAGGACATGAGACATGTCCCTGTGTTTAAGCTTTTGCCTCTAGATGTCTCCCTTTAGCTAGGGAGAGTTTGCATGTTTATAATTGTCCCTTGTTTTAGTTTACTTGTAAAATTTTGTTTGATTCCACAAGGCAATAAAAGGTCTTAGACCCAGATCACACAGTAGAAATCATTTTACACAAAACCTATTGGCAATATAATATCCATTCTGTAGTGGTAAATAAATTGAGTTAATTTGTGTTAATTTTGTGGGGTTTTTTGAGACAGAGTCTCACTTTGTTGCCCAGGTTAGAGTGAGTGCCATGGCGTCAGCCTAGCTCACAGCAACCTCAAACTCCTGGGCTCAAGCAGTCCTCCTGCCTTAGCCTCCCAAGTAGCTGGGACTACAGGCATGCGCCACCATGCTGGCTAATTTTTTTTTGTATATATTAGTTGGCCAATTAATTTCTTTCTATTTATAGTAGAGACGGGGTCTCGTTCTTGCTCAGGCTGGTTTCAAACTCCTGAGCTTGAGCAATCCGCCCACCTTGGCTTCACAGACTGCTAGGATTACAGGCGTGAGCACCGCATCTGGCCAATTTGTGTTAATTTTGAAAAACTGGCTTCTCTACTTTCATGTAAATTGGGTTAATATATTTTATATTGATATATTATAATTAACCATTAATATATTGATATTCTGACTTTATTTATAAAACTGTGAGAGAATATGAAAGTGACAGATTTTTTTTATAGCCCTCTAGATTGATGAGGCTTCTAAATCTAGAAATAATCAGCTTGATGGGAAAGAATAAATTCTGATTTAAGTTTACATTTCTAGTTTAACAGTGGGTTGATCAAGAACTCCTGTGGTAGGTAGGTTTGGGGATCCAGTAGAGCAGTGGTCAGTCTTTCCTTGGACATTGGCATTTGCTGTTCATTTCAATCTTTTACTGGTAAAGAGTCCTGGGGGCTTCTTTCTTCCTACTTTGATGAACCTGTGATAGCTTCATTTCAGATTTTGCTATTTTGGATGTTCAGGAACTGATTACTTTCCTAGTGGTATCAAAAGCCCTGTTAGGACAGAGAGAATTCTCATACTGGCCATTAACAGGCCTGATGCAGTACTGCGGTCAGGCAGACTTTGGGAAGTTGTTCCTTGATGGTAGAAATTTTGCACTTTTAACTCATCTTTGAATTTGATAAATTTTTTTTTAGTCTGATTTCCATTCTTTTAAAGAGTGTGGCCGGGCGCTGTGGCTCACACCTGTAATCCTAGCTCTTGGGAGGCCGAGGCGGGCGGATTGCTCAAGGTCAGGAGTTCGAAACCAGCCTGAGCAAGAGCGAGACCCCGTCTCTACTATAAATAGAAAGAAATTAATTGGCCAACTGATATATATATAAAAAATTAGCCGGGCATGGTGGCGCATGCCTGTAGTCCCAGCTACCCGGGAGGCTGAGGCAGAAGGATCACTCGAGCCCAGGAGTTTGAGGTTGCTGTGAGCTAGGCTGACGCCACGGCACTCACTCTAGCCTGGGCAACAAAGTGAGACTCTGTCTCAAAAAAAAAAAAAAAAAAAAAAAAAAAAAAAAAAAGAGTGTTACCTGTTTTTTGCTTTACCAGCCCTGCAGAGAGACTACTTCTTCCATATTAGGAGTAGGAATTCCTTGTATATTCCAGGTTTACAGTACAGATTTGTCAAAAATGAATGAATGAATTCTGGAGGATCCATCAGGTTGCATTAGTGTCCTGTTTACTGTTGTGTCCTAGGACTACTTTGATTAGACCTGTTATGGGATCCCTGCTGATTTGGGATTTTCTTGGTACCAAATAAGAATAATAGATGTAAAATACCTTTTTTTTTATTAAAGAAACAGGGTCTTGCTCTGTCTCCTAGGGTGGAGTGCAACAGCGTGATCATAGCTCACTGCAGCCTTGAACTCCTGGGCTCAAGCAGTCCTCCTGCCTCATCCTCCTGAGTAGCTGGGACTACAGGAGCATGTTATCATACTTGGCTAATGTTTTTTGTTTTTGTAGAGATAGGGTGTCACTGTGTTACCCAGGCTGGGCTTGAACTCCTGGCCTCTAGCAGTCCTTCCCCGTCAGCCTCCCAAAGTGCTGGGATTACAGGCATGAGCCACTGCACCGGCCCATAAAATGCCTTTTTTGTCTTGGAAACCTAGCTCTTTCACTTTACTTACATGTTTGGTACTATTTGGCATTATTTTGGCTATTTTACAGAAGTCTCTTGCTCCAAGTGCCTCATTAACTATGGTAGGCCCATAGTTTCTTATCTGAAAATTAAAAATGCACTGTCTGGATAGTTTTTGCATACATCTCTTAGTGCTATTTCTCATCTGTAAGAGCTTCTAAACCTACAAATACTTCTTGAATGAATGGATAAATAGACTTTAGCAAATTGCTTTTGATCACTTACCACACATCCTCATAAAACTTGCCATCTAATGAGGCTGCAGACACACAGATATATAATTACAGGACAGTGTATCATGTGCCACAGTGGGGAGATAGGGAATCATAGGAGCAAGTCCCTCTGGTGGTATCAGGAAAGGTGTGGTTCTTGAACTGAGCCTGGAAGGAAGAGTAAGAATGTAGATGTTAGGGGGTGCATTTCAGACAAATGGAATGTAAAGTGTAGGGACTGCTGAGGCAAAAAGACTGAATACTGAGTTCTTTTGAAAAATATAATATTCAGCATCGGCTGTATTTTAGGTAGCGACTGTTAAGGCATGAGCAAGTTGATTTCAGTCTCTCTGTTGTGACTGTAATCATATAAATATTTACCCTCTCTGTTGTTCCTGGTTTTTGAAGGGACCTTTCTACACTTTCTTGACTAGATTGCATATGCTAATGATACATTGAAGATCTGACTTGACTCCTTTCTTTTGAAGCCAGGGGAAATAAAAGGAGTGCATTTCCATAGACATTAATTACAATAGCTTCTGTTTATCAAATGCTTATTATGTGCCAGAAATTTAACACATACTATCTTCTTCCCTTCATAAAAACTCTGTGAGATAGGCATTATTAATCTGTATTCTTAGATGAAGAAACTGAGGTTGAGATGGTGAGGAACTTGCCACATTGTTGACTAAGTAGCAGAAATGGGATAAGAGTCCAGGGTTAGGCCAGGCCCCATGGCTCACACCTGTAATCCCAGCAGTCTGGGATGGCTCACACCTATAATCCCAGCACTCTGGGAGGCGGAGGCCGGAGGATTGCTTGAGCTCAGGAGTTAGAGATCAGCCTGAGCAAGAGCAATACCCTGTCACTACTAAAAGAAAATAGAAGAATTAGCCAGGTGTCGTGGTGCACCCCTATAGTTCCAACTACTCAGGAGGCTGAGGCAAAGAGGATTGCTTGAGCCCAGGAGTTTGAGGTTGCAGTGAGCTATGATCATGCCACTGTACTCTGTGTCAAAAAGAAAGAGTCCAGGGTTGTCTGACTCTGAAGCCTGTGTTCTCTCCATTGAAAACAACCTTAACAAAACCCTGGAGTTTGGCTATTGAGACTCTATAGGAGAATAAGCTTGTGAACAGCATGAATTGGGGTAGTAAAAGTTAAGTGCCAATCTATAGAAAGGTTGGGAAGTTGCACCTTTGAAGGTTTGCACATTTTGGCTTTGAGGGTGAGTCCCTAGAGAGCTTGGGTGGCAGAGTGACATGCACATTGGGAAATTCTCTTTCACAAGGGAGCACTGCACTAGACCCTTTTTTCGAAGAAAGGAGTGTTTGGATGAGATAAAGGATACTTGGCATTTAGGAAATTTAGATTAGTGAAGACTAAAATTGCAAAGTCATAGGCAAAACATCTTGGTAGGATCAAAGATCAGGAGATGAAATTTGTATTGCCGAAAAAGAGGGATTGGTCTTGGCACTGATTTTGCCTCTTGTAACATTTCGAGTTCTCATGTGTTGATGTCAACAAGTATTTTTGTCTGGTGAGTGAACAGTGGGAGTAGACAGTCCTGAAGAAGAAAGGAAAGGCTCTTTCTTCAAAAAGAACAGTGGGTCTACTCAGGATGCCACTTTGCAGCTTTGGACAAGATCTGGTTGCCTGTTTGCATTTTTTTTTTTTTTGAGGCAGAGTCTTGCTTTGTTGCCTAGGCTAGAGTGAGTGCCATGGTGTCATCCTAGCTCACAGCAACCTCAAACTCCTGGGCTCAAGCAATCCTCCTGCCTCAGCCTCCCGAGTAGCTGGTACTACAGGCATGCGCCACCATGCCCGGCTAATTTTTTCTATATATATTAGTTGGCCAATTAATTTATTTCTATTTATAGTAGAGACGGGTCTCGCTCAGGCTAGTTTTGAACTCCTGACCTTGAGCAATTCGCCCTCCTCGGCCTCCCAGAGGGCTAGGATTACAGGTGAGAGCCACGGGCCCGGCCTGTTTGCATATTTTATCAAGGGCTCCCAGATAACTGGATAGGAAGCTTCAGAAGGTACAGGCAAATGCCCTCTGTTAGAAGGCCCACAGTTTTCCATTCTTGTAGCAGCAGAGGAGAAAGCCACAGTGGGGTCTTCTGAGTCCTGCTTAAAGCTGACTGCCAGCCAGAATTATTCTAGAGCCTTTGTTCTTTTGTTAATTATTTCTGTTGAAATTTGGTGGCTTTTCCCTCTTAGTGGTACAAATTTGACATTTATAAGGATGACTTACTATAATTTAATTCCTACAGTTCTGTAAAATTGCAGTTATGTAAAATGGTTCCCCTTCATTCAATCTACGGAACAGTAAACATTATCCCTTCTTTTGGCCTCTTTGAAAGCTCCCTTCAGCTCATTTGAATGAAAGGTACTTTCCATAAAAAGGCAGATTGGTGAGTCACTCCCTGCAGAGACCCTGCTGCCAGCTTTCTTTCACCTAACGACTTGCACCAGTTCATTGCTTAGCTTGTCATTCTGATGTGTTTTTTCTGCATAGTTCAGCTTTAATGCTTTCTGAGCAGCAGCATTGAGTATCTCCCAGGAAAGAGATAAAAGTTTATACCGTTTTCTTTCCTCAGGCAGGTGTGTCATCAAGTAGGGGAGAACACTAACTAAAGAACTCACTCTTTTTGTTCCCTTTTGCCCTTGTTTTTAAGACTGTTGTTACTTGAACCTTCTTCACTCTTGGCTTATCCCCTGATTTTTGCCCCATCCTTCTGGGAATTAACCATTGATTATGAAACGGGTCACAGCCTAGCTGAGAACTTTATTTCTGAACTCCGAACACATAAGAATAATTGAGTTTACCAAATTAATACTTTTGTTTCTGCATCTCAGAGTATAGTATATATAGGTAAAAAGGTAGTTCTAAAGTAAGCTGTGTTGGAGACAAATATTTGGTGGAAACTTAAGAGTTTTTCTGAAAAAACAATCTATATTTGCAAATATCAACGAGAGAAGGGGCTTTTTTTTATTGATGGTTAGCCTCTGCAATAGATGATATAAAGGATGACGCCTTTCTGGTCTCACTGTGGTTTTTCTTCATAAGCTCAGATTTCCAGAATTCTGTTAAGAAAAAATGCAGGTCAAAGGTTGATAGCACTGGGTCCACACTGGTATTCAGGAGAGGATTGTGCAAAAGCTTAGCTCTCTGGAAACTGGATCATAAAGTACTCAGTTCAGGAAATATGTTGTTAAATATTAATTAAAATTCAAAGAAGACACGTGTCTGTTTTAAAAATAAAACATCCATGAGTTTCCTAACCCAAATGTTATTTGTAAAGAATATAAGATTAGGCCGGGCGCGGTGGCTCACGCCTGTAATCCTAGCACTCTGGGAGGCCGAGGCGGGCGGATTGCTCGAGGTTGGGAGTTCGAAACCATCCTGAGCGAGACCCCGTCTCTACTAAAAATAGAAAGAAATTAATTGACCAACTAAAAATATATATACAAAAAATTATCTGGGCATGGTGGTGCATGCCTGTAGTCCCAGCTACTTGGGAGGCTGAGGCAGTAGGATCGCTTGAGCCCAGGAGTTTGAGGTTGCTGTGAGCTAGACTGACTCCACGGCACTCACTCTAGCCAGGGCAACAAAAGTGAGACTCTGTCTCAAAAAAAAAAAAAAAAAAAAAAAAAGAATATAAGATTAAAATGCCCCTAATGAACTTGGCCTGGAATAGGACCTCTGTTCATGAACAATCTCAGTCATTGCATTTAGAAAGGAAGGAGTGAGCTTCCCCTAAAGGTAACACACAGTTGAACTTGAACCCTTCCTTAGTGTAACCTTCCTCCACTTTACTTCTCCCCTGAATGTTTCTAGCATTATGGGTTTGGTTTCTAATCTTATTTTGCTGTGCAAGCTACAAGAATGTCAGGTTTTTCTGACTATTCCTCTGCCTTCTAATTACCCTTTTAAGCAATGCTGATTGCAGGAAATTGCTATGGTGCAAGGCGGGTGTCACAACACACAGTGATTAAAACCCGCGTGTGTCATTCACTGCCTGATTGAAGTAATCATACAGAGGGGAAAAGCTGATGAAAAACCTGCTAAATGTGCAGAGGGGGGCCTGTTTCTCATCACTTGGGTTTAAGGAGTTTGAGTTAAAGAATCAAAACTAGTGTGAGTGAGGCTTGAGTTTCTTAGTCATTTTGCTTCATTCTGAATCCTCAAAGCTTCTGAGCAGGGCCTGGGTCTGTGAACATGATTCTGAGAAAAACAAGTTGTTGTTTTTTACGAAACACATAGTGCCCTTTGTACATGACTATAAAATAGTGGTTGAGCATATCAAGGGGAAAGATGCTAGAATGTAAATGGGACAAGCAGGTGAAAACCGAGTGGGAGAGGCCTGAATAGCTCAAACCACGTTCTTTTATTACTCTTTCCTTTGGTCTGCAGAATGTTGAGAGAGTAGTTAAGTTGAAATGGCATTTTTATCATTTTAGTTATATAGCTTGAAAGGTATTTAAATTATTTGGTGGTTCTGAAAAAGTATTTGTTTCATTTGGACGTAGCAGTTTGGGCTGGATAATGTGGTCTCTATAGAAAATACACTGTTTGAATCTTGATTTCTGTCTAAATCCTCATGCCCAGTCCCATTGTCTTTCTATTTTCTGGTTTTGTGCTCCTGTGTGTGGCTGAGCATGAAAGAGTGGGCTATGGACTCTCATTGACTTGAATCATTGGACCATCAGTGCTACTTAAACAAAGAGCAAGATGCATCAAGTGCTATAATAGGCATTGAAGGCATCTAATAATGATTTCTTACCTCTTGTGTCTCCCTCAGGTACAGAATCATGGTATTTCTATTTAATTAATGGATTTCTGAATTTCAACATAGCGTTTGCTTTGGCTCTCCTGGTTTTGCCTCTGACTTCTCTTATGGAATACCTGCTGCAGAGATTTCATGGTGAGTGGCATAACAGATGGTAGGTTTTCTGGGAGGAAAAGAGCAAGTAACAATGTATACCAAGAACCAAAGAAGAATCCTACTTATTTTAGTCTCCATTTTTTCCTATGGAAATCGTTGGCTTATTGAATTTTCAGCCTATAATCATTGATTATTTGAACCTGTGTGAAGATTCGGTTAATTGTTGCAAATTACACTGACAGAAGGAGCTTTGTTATCCCTTCAAGTGAGAAAGTCAGTATAATTTACACAATCACCCAGGGAGGCAAAAACATTTATAGCATTTCAGAAGATAACAACCCTATTTGAGTCTTCTCTCTTTTAAAGAAATGTGTGTTAACCTGGTAGATTCCTTAAGATAATTCATGCTAGAGGCAAATACTCTTTGGGAAAGTATTTCAACCAGAAATTTAAAAACTGGACCAAAAAAGGATTCCTCCAAATTTGATTCCAAGGTCAGAGAAGCTTGGACTTCCTCAGAAGCCTGGTGCTTCTCTTTGTTCCATTTTGCTTTTGTGTTTGCCTTCTGGGGAAGGTTTGGTTTGCCATTTATTTTGCTTGCTCTGATTCTGTATTGCACAGCTGGTGTTTTCTCAAGTTGTCGTGGCTCTGGATATCTAGTGCCTATCATTTATGGAAGACAGATTTGAACAGAAACTCATATGAGGTTTGGAAAGAGATTTGATTTCAGACTTTTCAGTCTGATTTGAATGTCATATGATTGATCCCCCCATTCTACCTCCATTCTGCTTTTCTACTATTAATGATTTATAGCAACTTCAGTGTGGTTTAAGAATATTAGAGCAGCATTCAGAGTCATTTTTTTGTGTGTTTATTAGGACTTTTACCATAACCATGATGCCATTATCCTAACAAAATTAACAATAATTCCTTAATATCATCTAAAACCTACTTGATATTCAGATTTCCTAGATTGTCTGGAAAATAGCCCTTTATAGTTAGCTTAAAGCGGAATCTAAACGCAATTCACTTGCTGAATTTGGTGTTATTTTACTTAAACTTTTTTTTTTTTTTTTGAGACAGAGTCTCACTTTGTTGCCCAGGCTAGAGTGAGTGCCGTGGTGTCAGCCTAGCTCACAGCAACCTCAAACTCCTGGGCTCAAGCAATCCTACTGCCTCAGTCTCCCAAGTAGCTGGGACTACAGGCATGCACCACCATGCCCAGAATTCTATTATATATATATATATATATATATATATATATATTAGTTGGCCAATTAATTTCTTTCTATTTTTATAGTAGAGACAGGGTCTCGCTCAGGCTGGTTTCGAACTCCTGATCTTGAGCAATCCGCCCACCTCGGCCTTCCAGAGTGCTAGGATTACAGGCGTGAGCCACCATGCCCGGCCTACTTAAGCTTTTTAACAGGACCCCATCTTACTTTTTTCTCCCAAAGATTTCTTTAGAGAAATGAGGCCATACATCTTGCATAACGTCCCACATTTTGGATTCAGCTGTTTGCTCCCTTGAGGTGTTAACTTATGCCTCTCTGTCTTTTATTTCTTCAGAATCACGTTTTCTTTTTTGAAAAGTAACTTTTTCTGACTATAAAAATACTTTATGAGAGCTGGGTGAGGTGGTACACACCTGTAGTCCCAGCTGCTTGGGAGGCTGAGGAGGGAGGATTGCTTGAGCCTGGGAGTTGAAGACCAACTTAGGCAACATAGTGAGACCCCATCTTTATTAAAATAAAAATAATTTTGCTTATGGAAAATTTGGAAGTGCTTGTGATGTAAGTAAAATAACAAGATATTAAGCTGTTTACTACAGTAGGAAATAATTGTACAACATAAACTAATGCTGATTTAAAAGTGTGTCATGCCACACACATATCTACCTAGTAAGAAAATGAGTACTTTCTGTGTTTTAAAATATTTTACCGTGTATTTTACAATAAACAATACTCTTTTAAAAGGAAAACAAGTACAAAAATACAAAGTGGCAGGAAGTAAATTAGCCATGATCCCATCATGTCCAGTTGTGGTTTGAGTTTGTATATTTTATGGAGACATTTCAAAATATTTGACACATTTTAAATCATTGGTTAGCTTTTAGGGTACAAAAGAGAAAAGACTGCTTACTTATAGACAATAAATAGATTATTTCTTCTAATTAAAGAAATTCTAACTTAAAATATGCTACCTGGAAGGGTATAAATCCTAAGTTATAGGATTTATCTTCTGATAAATCCTAGAGCAAAAAGTTTTACAAATAATCTTATTATTGCAGTTCAAGAATTTTTATCCCTAAGGAATTTCTGCAGCGATCCAGATAATCCAGGAACCCTAGATAAGGCATTGTGGAAGGGGATCTTCAAGTCCTGATCTTGTAGTCTAAACTTGCTCTCTACCGCACAGTGGACACCAGGGGGTGCTATCTACCCTTTGCCAGAGTCTGCACTGCTCCTTATTACTAATACAATCTCAGTAGGAGACAAAGCGTCACTGTGGGTTGCAGGCTTGTCAGTCAGTGCTCATGAACCTAACCACAGGAACTTTCCAGCAGGTTCTTGGGTATTAGTGTTCATTACATTCCTTTAATTCTTTCACATGCTTTAAGTACATTTTGGTTACAATTTTGGAATTAAAAGTGGATGAATATTGCAGAAGAGGAGAAAAAACTTAATCAGTAAACTTCCTTTAAGAGCATTTTTATGTTTACTTTGAAACAAACTGTCATTTGTGGCATGATGAAAACCAGTAATGAGTTTGAGAATCCAACATTTTTTTTCCTTTGATCTATGGCTATTTGTACAAACTAGGGTATAGATAAGATGATGAATGTATTCAACAGAACATAAGAATTAAAACCCAAGAAAGAGTTTATGTTATACTTTTGGTTAATCTCAGTAACCTTTAGTTTTAGTGGCAGGATTCATTAGCGGGAAGTGGCTTTTTTTTCTTCACCCAATGTAGAATTTATTAAGTTCTATTACCCATTAACTTGACTTTCATTTGTGTTTTGGCCAAATCCAGTATCATGCTTCCCTAGATTTTGAATTTCTTGGAAGAGCTAAGGAGTATATTCTTCTCTCTACTTGAGCCTTTATTGCCTTTATCACATTGCAGAAAATGCGAATACGAGAGTTGAAGCATTTTTATGGAATGTCCCAGGACTAGGGCATACTGCCAAATTTGAGATCAAGATAGCATTGAAACTAAATATGTTATTATGTTCTAATATGTTGAAATGTGGATATTTTTCTGTGTCTTGCAGTTCAGAATTTAGGCCACCCATATTGGCTTACCTTGGCTCCAATGTATATTTGGTTTATAATTTTCTTCATCCAGCCTCACAAAGAGGAGAGATTTCTTTTCCCTGTATATCCACTTATATGTCTCTGTGGCGCTGTGGCTCTTTCTGCACTTCAGGTGAGTTTCAAGGAAAAGTATATCTGTCTCATTCTGTTTCACTTATTAAATAATTGCTCACAAAACCTAAGTGCAAATTATAGATGCTTTCACATAAGATATTTTATCCATACCATTAAACCTGATATGGATCATATTATTAAAGCTTTATGTATTGATTGCTTAGGTGTTTATCATACTCTTATTTCCTGATGATATGTTTGCAGTGTTAATTTGTCTCTTGTCAACAAGAATCAAATTACAGAATTTCCATTCTGTGTCAGAGCTAATGGAATGGCTGCTCTTCAACTAATAGATTGAAATAAAACTTGCTCAAGAGCTTGGGATTACATCAGGCAGTTAGCAGTATGAGACACTTTGTAATCCTGGTTTAAAACCTGTCCAGGTTAATAACGTGGTGGAGCTAATCTTATAATAACTTTAAATATATCTGTACTTATGGTCTTAGGAACCTTGGATCTTTTCTTACCCTTTGCTACCATTTGCAATTGGCAGAAAAAAAAATTAGGATAGTTTTTTTCTTAAAAGATTTATTGAGATAGAATTCACAAACCATACAGTTCATCTATTTAAAGTGTATAATTCAGTGGTTTTTAGTATATTCACAGATATGTGCAACCATTACCATAGTCAGTTTTAGAACATTTTTATCATCTTAGAAACCCTGTATCCTTTGGCTGCTGTTCCACCCCCCCAATCCCTTTCCCATATCTTCCCAGTCCTAGATAACCACTAATCTACTTTCTGTCTCTATAGATTTGCCTATTCTGGATATTTCATATAAATGGAATCATAAAATATGTGGTCTTTGTGACTGGCTTCTTTCACTTTTAGCATAGTTTTTAAGGTTCATCAATGTTAGAATGATAGTTTTAAAAAATAATTTTAATTATAAAAGTAATTGAACTTCATTGTAGATAATTTAGAAAGTGGTAAAAGAAAAATTAGTTCCACTGCCCTAACAAAAACACCTTTTGGCATTTTTATATTCAAATATCATTGTGATATGATCACAATCATTGTGATATTATCACAATCAAATATGATTGTGATAATAAGTGTATATATAACTTTATATCCATTTTAACTTATTATTATACCATTACATTCTCTATGTTGCTATAACATTACATAATATATAATAATATATATTGACTTAGTTATGTATAATGATTGGATATAATTCATATTAGAATTTAGGTTACTCATTTATTCAATATTATAAATACTGCTAGGATAAATATCTTTATTTAGATTTTTGAATTGTTTCCTTAGGACAAATTCTCAAAAATATAAAAAGGGGGTCAAACAGATTTATGGCATTTGTTATATATTGCAAAATTGCTTTCCAAAAGTAGTTCCCATCTTAGAGGGAAGGCAGGAAGGAAAGAAATCTGAGGAGAAGATACTCAAAGACAGTGGAATCCATGCATGTGCGTATATATTATACTATTGATCTAGTTTATAAATTATTTTAGCAGATAATTAACAGCACATTCCTAATGTTCTATGAGAGGAATTCTTGTTTGGTCATGAGACATTTTGTTGATACTGAAACCTTTGATGAAAACTTGTCAGTAAGGGCAGGGCGCGGTGGCTCACGCCTGTAATCCTAGCTCTCTGGGAGGCTGAGGTGGGCGGATTGCTCAAGGTCAGGAGTTCAAAACCAGCCTGAGCAAGAGCGAGACCCCGTCTCTACTATAAATAGAAAGAAATTAATTGGCTAACTGATATGTATATAAAAAATTAGCCGGGCATGGTGGCGCATGCCTGTAGTCCCAGCTACTCGGGAGGCTGAGGCAGAAGGATTGCTTGAGCCCAGGAGTGTGAGGTTGCTGTGAGCTAGGCTGACGCCACGGCACTCACTCTAGCCTGGGCAACAAAGCGAGACTCTGTCTCAAAAAAAAAAAAAAAACTTGTCAGTAAGGAAAGTAAAGATTAATGCTTATTATATCAAAACAAATTGAAAATACTTATATATCAAAGGAAACTATCAAGAATCATTTTTAAGTATTTTAAAAAATAAATTATTAGGATTTAAGTAGTAACAAAATATCTGGATAATTTTCCTATCAAGCTAGTGAGATTTCTTTCTTGGCAAGCCCTCTGGCTGGCCAAGACTATATAGTCAGTCTTAGAGGAGTTGGCTTTTATCTTAGAATTTGGAGTGAGTACCTTGCTAAGTGTTTGCAAATGCTCAGACCCTTAATATAACCTCTTTTTTGGCTTCCTCACTGTTGTTACTATGTCTTGTGATTATGTCTATTCTGGAAGGTATATATATTCTTTTATCAACACAGTTTTCTTTCCTTCTAGAAATGTTATCACTTTGTGTTTCAACGATACCGCCTAGAGCACTATACTGTGACGTCAAATTGGCTGGCATTAGGAACCGTCTTCCTGTTTGGGCTTTTATCATTTTCTCGCTCCGTGGCACTGTTCAGAGGTAGATATGCTGAGGATATCTGAACCCACACTGATAAGGCACTTCATATTGGGTTTTACTTGATGCAGGATTGTTTAATACCTATTTGGCTTACAATAGGAAGAGGCCTTTTCTACAGGAAAAACCTATAGACTTAATGAGTGGAATGTAACTTCTGTACTTTGAGATTGAAAAGAAGATTAATTCCTTTTAGTGTGATTAACTATACATTTTTTTTCTCTATTTTCATTGACTTTTTAAAATTTTTAATGGATGCTGATGAATTAAAGAAGCCTTAAACTTAAAATGCATATTTTGGATAAAATTCTTATAATTTATATTCTTTCTTATAATCATTATGTGGATCTAGGATATTAAAATATGCTCAAGGAACATAAAGTTGAAAAGGCAAAGGGGTGCAGAAAAGGGCAAGAAAGCAAATTATTTTTGGCAGAATAGGGTCCCTGTTGTAATTGTCTTCCCAACTACAGAGACATTTTATACCTGTAGAGCAGGCTCCCTGCTGGAATTGCTCTGGCCCTTCACACTCTTTAAATTTCATGTGGATTACAGTGGGACGTTAACATGCATTATAATTAAATGTCAGAATCTCATCTTACTCATCTTTGGCTTTCGCTAACTGTTCTCCATTCTAGGATATCATGGGCCCCTTGATTTGTATCCAGAATTTTACCGAATTGCTACAGACCCAACCATCCACACTGTCCCAGAAGGCAGACCTGTGAATGTCTGTGTAGGAAAAGAGTGGTATCGGTTTCCCAGCAGCTTCCTTTTGCCTGATAAGTAAGTTGTCCTTTTAATTCCCAGAGTTTTAAATCAAGGAGTAAATGTAGCAATTCTGTGGTGGTGTCATCTTAATTTTTGTTTCATTTTGGAATTTTCACAGAAATTTATTGAATTGTTTACCATGTCAGAGAGGTGTGGGATCTGTGTTGTGCACCCACCTCCTGTATTCAGTAGGTTGAGTGCCATGTCTGGTATGCTCCTAACACTGCCCATAACCACAGGTGTCTGGGGACTTCTGAAAATGCTTTGGGTCCTAGACTAGTGGATCTTCGTGGATCTGTAACTATCTGATATTAATCCACTTCTAAAAGTGATCTGGAAACTCTAGCTAGAAGAGTGTTTTTTTTTTTTTTTTTTTAGAGTGTTTTTAGAGAAGAAATTTTTTCCGTCCAACAGTGAAAGTTCTCCACTAATATACAGACACTGGGGAAAGCTACACTTACGACATCTGTGCCAGTTCTCTTGATGCTGTCTGTTGCTAGATGTGATAGCAGAGGCCCTCGAGTTCCTTGTATTTTGCTTAATTTCACCAGAGAAGAGTCCTGTTTAGGTAAAGGGAAATATGTTTAAGATGAATTATGTTTTTCCATTTGAGGACTGGCTTTAGCAACTTAGCTTTACCTGGTGGTAGTATCTTAATGCTGAATTAAAACCTTGTATTGGTCATTAATGATTAAATTAAAACTTGCTTTTTAAGTGTTGACTTTGGCCTTTGCCTCTTACATTTGAAATAGTTTTAGAGCTAAAGATATTTTTGAGGCTTACTCAGGAACAAAATTTTTCTCTAGTAGTATGTTCTTTGTGCCATATATTACTTTTCACTCTTTTTCTATACACCTGTGAATTTGCTTTAATTTTGATAAGTCCCTCTGATCACATGGTAATTGGCAATAAACTTTGACACTTTCCTGGTCGTTTGATGTTATGACCACTTGGTTGCAAATTTCGATGCTGAGAGTTGGTGAAATGGGTCTAGAGATCTCTAGTTGTAAATTTCTCAATGATTTTGGACTGATTTGTGACCTCTGCCTCTATGTTCCCTGGTTGAGGTTTCAACAGAAATCTTTTTTCTTCAAGTGAAATGTTTTTCATGTCCACATGATTTTCTGTTTTTTGGTTTGTTTGTTTCAAGTACATTTAGCAATACAATCCCTTCTGTGTTTTTATTATTCTTCTTATTTGTGTTTCTGACAGTTGGCAGCTTCAGTTCATTCCATCAGAGTTCAGAGGCCAGTTACCAAAACCTTTTGCAGAGGGACCCCTGGCCACCCGGATTGTTCCAACCCACATGAATGACCAGAACCTAGAAGAGCCATCCAGATATGTAAGGGTTACACTTTCTTCTTGCTTCTTGGAAAAGAATTCTACCCCTAAAATCTACTGGCATATACATTAGAGCATTGATAAAATGAGAATTTCTTAGAAAGTGATTTTTTTTAGGGTGATATGACAACTTTTGTTGAGAAAAAGTGAACAGTATCACTTTTATTTTCAAATTAACCTCATTCCTTATTTTCTATATATCACATATAATTTAATATAATTTCTAAGCTTTTGAGTGGGCTGGAAATTTTCTTATGGTAGAATTTGAATCATCGTTCTGAAACTCATATCATTCCTTGGCCCATTAAAATACTTCGGGGGGAACTTTCAAGTTATCAAGTGGACCTTTGACCTAGCTATTATTATATTCTGGTTTTAGCAAATCAACAGTCAGTGAAGACTGTTTCCATAGTGAGTTCCATGAAGCAATCTCTGTCAGAGCCATGATCTTCTACCTACTTGTCTTTACATACTCAGAGATCCCATGTGAATTTTATTTTGGTTCCTTTGAAAGATGGCACATATGACATTTTTTTTTTTTTTTTTTTTGAGACAGAGTCTCGCTTTGTTGCACAGGCTAGAGTGAGTGCCGTGGTGTCAGTCTAGCTCACAGCAACCTCAAACTCCTGGGCTCAAGCAATCCTTCTGCCTCAGCCTCCCGAGTAGCTGGGACTACAGGCATGCGCCACCACGCCGGGCTAATTATAATATATATATTTAGTTGGCCAATTAATTTCTTTCTTTATAGTAGAGACGGGTCTTGTTTGCTCAGGCTGGTTTCGAACTCCTGACCTCGAGCAATCCGCCCGCCTCGGCCTCCCAGAGTGCTAGGATTACAGGCTTGAGCCACCGCGCCCGGCCCACATTTGACATTTGATACCTATAAAATCTTTGATCATGAAAAAGATGAGGGCAATAATGACAGTGGTCCCCTAGGGACCCTCAGAATTCATGAGTGAGATTCTTATTGTATGAGCTTTAGCTATAAGCTGTGAAAATGGACATCTTGAAGATACATCTTTGGTCTCTTGAGAGACCTAGTCTCCTGAGAAGGTAAGATATGCATTTCTACCACATGACTGTGTTAGAGCTTCATTCTTTTAACTTAAGGCTCTAATTCCTGTTACAAGGAAAATACCTCTGGCCAGGGATATTTGTAAACCGTTATTGGGTGTTTTTATTTTAGCTGCAGATACTCTCTGGAGAGCAGGCTTTAATACACAGGGATCACTAAGGGTACGCTGGACAAAAGGGTGAGAGAGGACACCACAATAAGGGGTGTTATAAACTCAGAGTGATGTTATCAGGGCTGTGCTCTGGGGAGAAGAAGCATGGGGTTTAAAAAGAGCCTGGGTTCCACAGACATGCCTTTAGCAAAAAAAAAAAAAAAAAGAGCCTGGGCTTTGGAGTCAAGGAGACCTGCATTCAGATCATAGCCCTTTGTTTACGTTGATGACGTTGGGCAAATTAGTTAACTTCCCTGCTAAGCTAATTTTAATTTCTATCTATAAAATGGTACCTACTCTGGAATTATGAGATTCGATAATACATCTCTCTGTCATATTTAGCATAGTACCTGGTCCATAGATTCTCCCACAATTGTTCTTAATCTGATAATGGTATGTCATATAGATTAGAGGTAAAGGAACCCTTAAGGCAGGTGTCCTCAAACTACAGCCCGCAGACCACATGAGGGTATTTTTGCACATTTGTTTTTTTACTTCAAAATAAGATATGTTCAGTGTGCATAGGAATTTGTTCATAGTTTTTTTTTAAACTATAGTCCGGCCCTCCAACGGTCTGAGGGACAGTAAACTGGCCCCCTGTTTAAATAGTTTGAGGACTCCTGCTTTAAGGTGATTTATAATCTGCCTGAATCTGTCTCTCTCTCCTTACTTATATTGTTTTCTGAACAGGTTATCATTCCAGTCTGTCTAGATTCATCATTGCCTTTTCCACCCAGTGACTTTGCTTATGTTGATGCCTGTGCCTGGACTACCCTCATCTCCCTTCTTACACTATCAAAATTCTCTTCCTCTTTGAGTCCAACTATTTAAGTCCATATTGAGCAGTCCATTTATTTTTGTTTTATGTTATTTAAATTTTTTGATATGTATGTCATATCTTTGCCCGTTAGAAGTGTGAATACTATGAAGAGAATGACTGTACCTTGTTTGTTTTGTATTCACCATAGCATCTAGGATAGTGTCATATACCTATTAGTTAGCCTTTGCATGCTTTCTCAGTGGATAATGAGTATTCATTATTATTGGGATAATGATGTTTAGAGAAAGCTGGCTAGAAAATCTATGGTGGACTTTTGCACATTTCTTAGGCTTTGGTCACTAGTTGTCTCTGGTTTTCCATATTCTCTGTTACCACACATTGTTAAATTTGATTAACCACTTCGGTATGAGCGTCAACTATAGTTGATAGCCACTGATGAACGCGTACAGCCCAGCGTCGACTATAGTCGATAGCCACAGGTGAATGTGCACAGCGACTTTAGCCAGCAGCCATGATATGACTTTTCTAATTTTTCATTTATCAAAATAAAATTGTGAACATTTAAAAATAATGTAATGAAAACTTATATGTATATGTTACCTATTGTGATTTACATTACAAGTAAAGCTGCCTGTAAAGTAAAACAAGCTTTCAGTGCTTTAAAGCTTTCCTCATCACACAAGAACAACACGGATTCGTCGTCAATGCACAGCGCAAACTACCGTGCGGACTATGAGTGCCGGCTGTGGGCAAGGTTTCGCAGCCGGTGAGCGCTGTACCCAAGTGGTTAACTAACTCTCTATGAGCTTTACCCAAAAGATTTTTCCGAATGCCAATAGGAGCCACTAAAATGCCAGCTGATAAGAGAAGGAACAAACAAGTGAGATGTGTCTGCTGGGTGTGTAGTGTCTGTCACTGTGGCTATCTATGTTCCTGAGGTTGAGAGTTTTCCTGCAGAGCTGTCTTTGTATTCCAGTTTCAGTGGATTTTCCTGCATGAAGGAAAGTGCCTGCCAAATCTAGTCCACTCACCTTTGGCCCTTTGGAAAGTAGCAGGGACATTTGATGGCTCGTTATTAATTCTGCATGAACTATGATTAGGAATTTATTTCTTTCGCTTAACTGTTGAAAAAGATATTTGTTTTCTTCTCATGATAAAAGTAATATATATTCATTGTATAAAATAATGAAAGCTATAGACAAAAAAAAAATGAACTATTATCTCACTACCCAAGCACTATTACCATTTTTGTGTTTTTTTCTTTCAGTTTTTTCCCCTTTGCATATATATGTATATTTGTGTATAAACAAAAATCTCAATTATGTTTAAAAAATTAATATGTTTAATTCTTTAAGAAAGGTGTTAAGGTCTTGTGGGATGGCTCACACCTGTGATCTCAGCATTTTTTTTTGTTTTTTTTGAGACAGAGTCTTGCTTTGTTGCCCAGGCTAGAGTGAGTGCTGTGGCGTCAGCCTAGCTCACAGCAACCTCAAACTCCTAGGCTCAAGCAATCCTACTGCCTCAGCCTCCTGAGTAGCTGGGACTACAGGCATGCGCCACCATGCCCGCCTAATTTTTTCTATATACATTAGCTGGCCAATTAATTTCTTTGTATTTATAGTAGAGATGGGGTCTCACTCTTGCTCAGGCTGGTTTCGAACTCCTGACCTCGAGTAATCCGCCCACCTTGGCCTCCCAGAGTGCTAGGATTACAGTCGTGAGCCACCACGCCCGGCCAGTCTCAGCATTTTGGGATGCCAAAGCAGGAGGATCTCTTGAGAGAAGAAGTTCAAGATCAGCCTGGGAAACATAGTGAGACCCTATTTCTACAAAGATAAAAATAAAAAAAAATTAGCCATGTGTGGTTATACATACCTATAGTCCCAGCTACTTGGGAGGCTGAGGCAGGGGAGGATTGCTTGACCACAGGAGTTGGAGACTGCAGTGAGCTATGATTGCACCACTGTACTCCAGCTTGGGTGACAGAGTGAGACTGTCTCAGGAAAAAAAAAAAAAAGGAAAAAAGAAATGATGCCAGAATCATGACTGTGATAGCCAAATAACTTTGCCTGATATATAGGAGCACATGTTGTCCTACACTAATGTTTGTTACTTTTGGTGTAAGTCCTGGTGTTTAGTCCAGGTTCATTTAAGAAGGCAAAATAATTATGTTCTCTATCTTTCTTGAGCATGCTAAATAGCATCATTATTTTTATCTGCCCTTTGGCTCTGAGCAACTGGTTTTAGCTAGCCTTTAGCTTCAATGCTAAGTGGTTCAATCTGTCCTCTGTTTTATTCTGCTTAGAAACTAGGAAAAATGTATGACCTCCTTTATTTCACTATCCTCCTTTACCTCTGGGTTTATCAAGAATTAGGAGTATTAGTAAAGGCTCTGTGGTTTGTACTATACTGTTATAACTATATTGCAGAAATAATTTTTTTTTTGAGACAGATTTTCACTCTATCGTGCCAGCTAGAGTGCAGTGGTGTTATTATAGCCTACTTACAACCTCAAACTCCTGGGTTCAAGGAATCCTCCTGCCTCAGCCTCCCAAGTAGCAGGGATTACAGGCATGTGACACTGCACCTGGCTAATTTTTGTATTTTTTTAGTAGAGATGGGGTTGTGCACTTACTCAGGCTGGTCTCCAGCTCCTGAGCTCAAGCTATCCTCCTGCCTCGGCCTCCCAGAGTGCTAGGATTACAAGTGCGAGCCACTGTGCCTGGCCAGAAATAATATTTTTTGTGCTGTGTATTCTTTCATAGTAGGTATTGAGTAGCTATTGAACATCCCATTTTTGGACAGGAAACATTTATAGTGGTTCATACCAAGATTTTCTGCCAGAATCAAGATCTGAATTTAGAAGATACATTCTGCGTCCCCTCTTTAGTTCTGGACAAATGCAAACTTTTGTTCACTATTTCGTGGTGAATGGTATCCTTTCTACTCCAAACCTAGTGTGTGATTTGGGAGCTACTTAGTCAATGGATAGAC